GATCTATGACTCCAGTCACCCCCTCTTCACCACTAGAGATACTGATAACAGATCCAGCACGGCTTTGGGTGCCTGTCAGCAAGTTCATGTGGCTCGTGCAGCTCCCTTCTGCACTGGCTGCATCCTTTGGCCACAATAATTCAGACACCTGAGCATACTGCACAGACAGGTGAGGATGCCAGTCAGTCGGAGATATGGACCGTGATTGGGACTGAAAACGCTGTATCACTTGTCAGTTCAATGCCGCAAGTAACTTTACCACCACGATGGCACTCACTGACGGAGGCGTTTCATGGTCCAAGAAGTCAAGAACCTGTTCAGGGCGCGGTTCGTTTTAAACACTCTGGTAGGAACATTGACCCCTCCATCGGCTTGAAACCAGGTTGCATGGTCAGGTGCCTGACTAGCGTCATGCACGCTCGAGAATCCACAAATGTCGCTGCATCCTGCTTGAAGGCCCTGGTTGATGGCCATGATGAAAGATGGGGCAAGGATGGTGAGATTGTAGGCCGACACACCACTGTCAATCTCAAGTTGCCAGTTGATGCAGAAAGACAGCTTTGGTGGTGGCCCACAAAGTCCATTTGCAGGGAGCTATGCCTTCGGATGAGTGATGCAATCTGCAGCAAGGGAAGCCACCTCACCTGACAAAAAGCACGCAAGAATATAACGCGCCAAACCCTGCGCCAGAGGTAGCCATGTATTTTTTCGGACCCCCATCCTAGGTGTGACTTACAAAAGCTAGCAAGATGTATGAGGTTCAGCTGGGTTGATGTAAAACAAGGGCCGCAAGGCTCGTCACCATCAGATGAAGGGGTAGCGGGGTTCAGGTACACATCGACTTTGATTTCACTACCAATCCTGGCAGCACTGTAAACGGCTCAGTTGGACAGTCAGAAAAAATCAAATCAAGGATCACAGCAACTCACGGTCGAATGACTCGCTTGGCACCAAACGTAAATGTTTTGCTGTCTTCAGTCAGTACAGCACATATTTTGTTAGCTTTGGATAAGGAGGCAAGCTCCCGTTCAGCCTCGTGGTTGGCCTGCAGATGTGCGCACTCAGTCTGCCTCTACAGCATTTAGGAGGAGGAATTGATGCTCACCATTGACCAAGTAAACACGAAGATCTGCAGCAGCTCTTGCAGACATGCTACAATCCAGGGTGGCGCTGTCCAAATTTCAGGACGGTCTACTCCACCGAACACAAAGTGGGCATGCAAAGGGGCACTGGCCAGGGCAGCAAGTGCATACATCAATGTGCGGCACAGCTCAGGGTTCTCCCTGGACTGCACGAATGGAAGATATTGAGGGGTGCAGACTGAGTGGAGCCAGGAACTGGGGAGTGGCAGGTCAGCGAGGTTTTGCAAGCCGTTCAGCCCATTGTCTTACCCGGCATCAACTCCAATGACCATCATCGACAACCCATCTTTGTCTTGCACATGACCCTTGAATTCCTCGAGTGTGAATTTGGTGAGTGTCTCCCTTTCGGCAACAGGAGAAAGCAGCTGCACAGGTACTCTTGTCAGACCACAATGGATGACATAGCACTAGGGCACGCACCTTCTACAAATCAGCCATAGTACCTGTGGTTGTCGTCCTCGACAGTGATTGGGGTGGTGGTGGAGGTGGTTAATGGATAGGAGCGAGCATTGCTCTGAAAGTAAATTGTTAGGGGCTTGTACAGCCACCACGCACAACTGGCAATGTGTGGTTCGTGCGGTGCAAGAGCAGGGTGAATAGTTTTGGATCCGTGTGGTTCATGTGGTGGTGAATAGTTTTGGATCCGTGTGGTTGGGTCGGTGTGGTTTGTGGGGCGGTGAATAGTTTTGGATCTGTGTGGTTTGTGGGATGGTAAATAGTTTTGGATCTGTGTGGTTCATGGGGTGGTGAATAGTGGTTCATGGGGTGGTGAATAGTGGTTCGTGGGGTGGTGAATAGTTTTGGGTCTGTGTGGTCCGTGGGGTGGTGAATAGTGGTTTGTGGGGTGGTGAATAGTGATTTGTGGGGTGGTGAATAGTTTTGGATCTGTGTGGTTCATGGGGTGGTGAATAGTGATTTGTGAGGTGGTGAATAGTTTTGGATCTGTGTGGTTTGTGGGGTGGTGAATAGTGATTTGTGGGGTGGTGAATAGTTTTGGATCTGTGTGGTTCGTGGGGTGGTGGTGAATAGTTTTGGATCTGTGTGGTTCATGGGGTGGTGAATAGTTTTGGGTCCGTGTGGTTGGTGAATAGTTTTGGGTCTGTGTGGTTTGTGGGGTGGTGAATAGTTTTGGATCCATGTGGTTGGGTCAGTGTGGTTCGTGTGGTGTATGCTGAGAGCAGTTAGCAGTATACTTGTGGCAGCAGAGTAAACTGCACATACTTGGTGAGGGCAGGATGAATAGTTTTGGATCTGTGTGGTTCGTGTGGTGTGACCAGGGCCAAGCTTGTTGGGGCATGGGTTGGCCAGTGCGGGGTGCAGCGCAAGTTGTCGTACTGAGTCTGAGCATATCCTGAATCTGTTCCTGCATGTACTCCTTGCTGCCACAGGAAGATGTATGATTTGCTGCACTCTGCGCAGCCCAATTCATGACAGGTCAGAATAAAGGTTTGACAATAAATAAAAAAACTCACCAGGGCCAAGCTTGTTGGGGCATGGGTTGGCCAGCACAAGAGTGCAGCGCAAGTTTGTCATACTGAGTCTGAGCATGTCCTGTACCGCCACTGAAGACGTATGATTTGCTACATACGACATACTGGTTGTGCCAAACGTAATGAGACCAACTAATGCATATGGTGGGATGAAACTGAGGCTAACAACAAGGGTGTCATGAGCTTGAATGAGAACAAAAAAATATAAGTCAGTTCGATGTACTGGCTGTGCCGAACATAATGAGACCCAACTAATGCATATGGTGGGATCAAACTGAGGCTAACAACAAGGGCATCATGAGCTTGAATGAGAACAAAAAAAATATGTACTGGTTGTGCCAAACGTAATGAGACCCAACTAATGCATATGGTGGGATCAAACTGAGCTGACAACAAGGGCGTCGCATGAGCTTGAAATGACGATTGAAAGAACAAGTCAAGTGTTCGACGTACTGGTTGTGCTGAACGTAATGAGACCAACTAATGCATATGGTGGGATCAAACTGAGGCCAACAACAAGGGCGTCATGGAGTGCTTTGAGGTCTAGCCAGAGTGACCATGGTGGCTGTAAGGAGAGCAGCCCATCACACACTGGGTTCGAAAGACTGTTCGGTTTCTGTATAGACTTGGACTGACCGTCATGTCCCATGCTGCTAATGCAAACTCACAGTGAGAGCATGACAGAGTTTAGAAACTGACTGCTGTACATACCATACCCATAATTAATACATGTTGATTGCTCTGAGTTGTTGGAGCCCATATGAAGTGGCAAGCAAACAATCTCGGAACCACGACGGGGAAGCGAAGAAGGGGTGGGCAGGCGCACTTAGTCAGCCATGGCGGGCCCGAGGTTGTACATTCCATTGAACCCGCAAGAATCCCCTTTATGGAATTTACCCTTGGCAAGGTGAAATTCGTCAGATAAACTGACTAATCGGCAGGTTTCGAACCTGCACAGTCCAAGAGAAATAGATCTGGATTCTGATCACTTTGGCCAGCACACCTCAGAGGTTGAGATGAACCTCCGAAGAGCTGTCCATGAGTGAATGTCAAGGTTGCGATAAGACATTTATCGGCATTGAATCCGCACCACCAATATTTCTAACGTTCTAGTGCCAGTCGGCTATGACTACTTAAGATAGACCTTGAAGGATCCATCCATGAGCGAATGTTCAGCAAGAACAAGCGTGAAAACCCATAAACAAAGTTGGGTGGTGAGACAATGTTGAATGGATATTGAAAATGTCCAAAGTTTGACGCGCCCATCGGCGGTCAAAATTCCCGCCTCGACTGCTACAGCTGCTATACACATAATGCAGACTTTGTCAATGAATATTCAAGCTCTGAATGACGCAGCACAATTGTGGACATTGAAATCGCTTCTCACATCTCCTCAAGTAAGTCAATAATGAGTGTTCAGATTAATCAAAAAGGTGCCTCTATTGCCCATGAAGCAGGGAAAATAACAGACTCCAGAAACAACCACATTGACCAAGTCAGCAATGAACTATACATTGTGCCATCAGCCACAGCACCAATGCGAAAGCGGAAACACGACTCACTGTCCAGATGTGCTCATGGACGGGCTGCCAGCCCATCGGCAAGCAGTCTTAATGGTGCGAGGTGCAAGGGGTGAGCAACAGGGTCGAATACTGGATGCAAAGCAAGCTATTCATACTCACTTTCACTGGAGCACAGCGGTGACTGCAGCAATCATTGTTCGTATCGCAGCCCTTCAAGGAAGGTTTGCACTGTGCGGCAGTGACAGACATGCATGCTGCCAAAGTAGTAACGACGACGAGGAACTTGAAGGAAAAATGCATGATATATACAAAGTGATAAAAGCTTCGCAAAGGGCACTCTGAACTACTGAGGTAGACAGAGCTTGCTTTTATATCCTGAAAACATTGTTGTGGGCAAAAACTTGAAGTTCTATTGATTTGGAAAATTGGTTGCGCCTGGATGGCAGAACTTCACAACGGGATGTTTAGGATGAATCTATTGGAGCCCTAGAATCAGAACCTGCATGGATAATATATACATCTGAACCGCAGGGATTGACTCATCGTCGGCCAGGTTACACAAAAGAATGAAAGCCCGAACGTGCAGTCTACATCATTAATAATAACATATATATAAAAGGCTAGACGAGAATGACTCACTTAGTAGAGGCTTCGTGAAGAAAAGCACAAAATGACGGGGATCAGTGAAAACCTGCTTCAGCGGGATTGTTGTCGCTTGAAGTCCTCCCCTTCTGGTTGTGCTTCTCCACTGTCTTTCATCTTGAATGAAGTTAAGCCTTCGACTCCGAGCAGTGCAGCCCGAGTGTCAACGGTTCCTGGGCAACCGCTACAGTGACAAAGGCCAGAATCCGCCTCTGTACATTGACAGCCCAATCTGGTCCGCTCACATCCACTGATGCCCGGTGAAGGATCTTCAACTCAGCTGAGGGTGCAGCTGATATAATTGTTGAAGGGAGGAAAATATGAGTGCGATATGTTCGTCCCTTAGGGGAAGCGGAGAAAGTAAATATCCACTGGTCAACTCTAGGGGGAATGCGCAAAGCGCGTGATAAGGCGAAAGCGCGGGAACAAAGGCGCTATAGGCGCGCGAAGCGCGGGATAGTCGCGCGTCGAAAAGCGGAACTGGGTGAAAGCGGTATGCGAGCAATAGTGAGATGTTAAGACGTGTACTGAGATGCTGATAAGACAACTGATGCGGATATGGCCACTAGAGCTAACTGCTACTAGGGCTTGCGATGATTTATTCAAAACATAATAAAAACTCGGAGATGGTGACTGTCTATCATGGTGGTGGTCCGTGGTAATGTGTGTTCTGTGTCGTAAAAAATGTGTAATGAAAAATGTGTACCAAGTGAAAATAAACATGGTACGATGTTGAAATAAATGATAAATGGAGAAATGCATACCTGGGAACTTGGTTGGACATGGGAAAACACAGTGGGAAGTCAGGCGCCCTATGGCGCTTAGGCGCGGGAAAATTCGCCTAAAGCACGCGCAAGTCGCGGAAGTGTCGCCTATGTCGCGAAAGTGTCGCCTATGTCGCGCGCGTCGTGCGAACGTCGCGTTTATCGTGCTAGTGTCGCGTTGCATGCATAGTATTGTAGACTCGACCTACAGTGCAATATATGCCATTGTGAGGCTACTCAGGATCGAGTCTCTACACCGGAATGGTGTACCAGATGAGATTTGACTGCAAGGCTGGGCATGAACATCCACGCCGATATGGTGAGCGGGGACTCGTTGAAGTCACATAGAATTAGCAGTTATTTGTCAGCGCAAAATGAAATAAAAAGACTAGTTTGACACAAGACATGCTAGCCTGAGGAATAAGCAAGTCGGTAGCCGGTGTTGCTGCATCCGTATTTCTCACCGAGCCCTATAGATGACGCGTGTATACAAAGGCAGATGCTGCCCAACACCATATGTGGTGACTGTGACGTTTGGGATGCGTTCTTGGTAAATATATACGGCAGCACGGCAAATCGAACCGTCACCAAAGATCCACCATAAGATCTGACCAGCCAAGTGGAATTTAGTAAGTCTGACTGCAGCTAAACGCCAGGCTACGATAGAGTTGTGTTGGTTCTCGAGCATTTCTGTATCATCAAAAATTGCCCGAAACCAGGTATTTGGTTATAACCATCTTCAGCGTGACCTTTTTACTCGTTGTGGGCTCGGACACATCAGGCAGTGATTTATCAATGCTGTGGTATAAACCCTATTCACAGAACTTGATCGACTTTCAGTAGTGCAAGTGCTTTCCGGTATGTATAACAAAACATTCGTCATCGCGGCACACATCGAAATGTTCATTTCTATGTTGCAATCAAGAGCTTGCGAGGATCCGTCCAAGCAAAATTACTGCGGAAACGACTTTTTAGCCCCACCCATAACCCGAGGCAGCTTGGATATATAACTCGACATACCTAGTACAGACTAAAACCCGACTTGGAAGAAAATTGAAGCGTCTCGGAGCTATGAGACCACATAGACAGAGGCAAACCAGACATCGGGTTAGTGGTATACATAGTAACTCGACCAAATACAGACTTGAATTTTCACCATTGTTTCTACGTCATAATTCAACGATATCCACGCCTTCTGGAAAGACAGCTTTTTCACAACCCGACCTAAACCCGACTGAGGCACAATTTATGCACGCATACGAGGTGAGTTCCTTCGTTTGTTTTTGCTAAGTCCCTTTGACCAGAACCATCATGCATGTCGTTTCCCCTTGCTGCCTCTCCCAGCCACCTTTAGCTGTTAAACGGTCGCGTATTTCTCAGCGATGATAATCTCCTTAGCTCAAATCTTCAAACCAACTTCTCTGGGTAGGTTCTTGAGGACCAGTTGAGGTATGTGCATCGTTTATGAGCGGTAGAAGGCCCTAATCATGGACGAACCTAGGCACTTTTGACACCTGTGGTTATTAGCTGCAAGTTGGGCAATTGTTTTCCTGTGGGTAAGTATCCTGCTCTCAGTTTTCATCGAAGATGCTCATTCATAGCGCATATAGCAGATCCGCTGGGACGGCGTTGAAAGCCTTGAGCAAACATCGGGTGCTGGAAGGAGGGAGAGGGAAGGGATTCGTTACCTAGGATGGCCCGCTATGGGGTGGAGGGATCCCTAGGAAGTATCGACTGTAACCCTACATAAATCAGACTTCTTTTGCCTAATATTCAGAAGCAAAGCAGCGCTCCCTCTAATATCCAGACGCAAAGCAGACCACCGACCTAATATTCAGATGCTGCTCGTACGTCGGGTTAGGTGCGAGGGCGACTATCTAACGCAAGCCCACATTAATGCCTAACCCACCTCGGGATTTGATCTCAAACGGTCACCATTCTCCACCTTAACCGGTGGGGATAGACGCATTTGCCTTTCTCATATTTATTGTCACTACTTCCCAACATGATTATGACGGTATTCAGACTGAAATCAGACATGCAGACACTACAAACCAGATATAATTCAGTCGTCGGAATAGTGTTAGTAATACACATTCAAGCTCTGCAATAGCCAGTGTTCCTACGTCGGATTAGACCACGAAACAGGTACTTCCCACTACTCTATCACCTCGGGATTTGCATGATTTGCCACCCCTGATTACATACTGGTGATGTTGTCTTTTCGCACCCTGTCCAGACCAGACCTGATCAAATTCTTGTTTCCGCAGTACTGCAGCTGGTTATGTTGTCTTTTGGCACCCTGTCCAGACCTGATCAAATTCTCGTTTCCGTAGTACTGGTTATGTTGTCTTTTCGCACCCTGTCCAGACAGGTCCAGACCTGATCAAATTCTTGTTTCCGCAGTGATTGTCACTACTACTTCTATGTCAACCCTATCAGGTTATTTTGTCGTTTCCGTGGTTCCGTGCTGTACCTAAATTTCATAAGCTTGTTTTCTATCGTGCTTTCGCCAACAATATTAGAGCCATTATTATAACAATGTGCAACAACTTGGAGACAAGAAACCTTAGACTAGATTGTTGCAAGCTGTTGCATGCCAGATTCTTGTGATTTAGATTCCGAGCTTAGTAGGCACAGCGACAGCAGCGTAATAGGAGCACCTGGCGCGCAAAGTATATTCGGCTATTTCCGATATTCTGTCTATCTACTCCGCCACTCAGATGTTCTCGTAACTCCGCTAGTCAGTGCATGAACGTTGACAATGACATGCATGTCCTCGGATTGCTCGCGTACTTAACGCGTATCACAACACAGATGCAACATGAAGCGACGACGACAAGAAATAATTGATCTCGCACAATTTCAGACCAGTGCTATCATTAGTATTAACTTCGCCAGTCAATCTCAAAGGCTTCTCAAATTCACGCACAACCTCAGCCATTCTCGGAAGAGTGGGTCTCCACTGCGATTAAGGGCTGACAAGTACTCATGCATGGCAGCTCCCGGGCCCACCTCCAAATGGACCCAAATTTCGTTTGCAGTCAACTATACACCGCTCTATAGCTACCGAGAGTGACGCTTTAGTAGGAGTCGAAGCAACCTGTCATTAAAACAAACAACATACTCCCATATGCTGAGAGATGTCATCGTTGTCACTCGCATATTGCTAATCTCTACACGTAGCTTAACGGCAACCTGGAATGTTCGAACGAGGCTGGCATGATTGCAAACACGGCGTGCAATACAACCCTAGTGATAGGCACCGTATTATCTATGCCTGCCGGTCGCCCCTCATGTCAAATGGAATGGCCGGAGCCGAGAATTCAGCCTGGCCATGGTTTAGGACTATTTAATGCTGGACAGCAAAAGACTCCAAATCACTCATGTCCCGCTTCGCAGCGACCACTTTGCGCTGTGCGCTGTATCACTTCGAGACTGCTTGGCTTTTCACGAGATCTGACTTCAAGACAATAATTTTCCCCGTGGTATTTATTCTGGCAATAACTATTACTGCATGACGCTGAATTTTTGCGGTAGATGATATTTGCAACTGTCGTATCTCCTCGCCACAACCCGCTATCCCTATCTTACGCTCTCTGCTGGCTCTGGTTCCATCTCTTTCAATTCAATGTGTCTAACCAATCCTACTCTGCTCATGAAGATGTCTTGAACAAACCATGGCGTCCTGTGGCGTCCGGGCGCATTAGCGTGAAAGATTCTCGTACATTGCGCTGGGGACTCATGTTTTTCTGCTTGGGCCTTTCATCCCTTTTCAGCTTAAACGTCGTTATAACCAGTGGAGTTTCCACTGTGCTCCTGGTCATGTATGACGATTTTCATCTCAGTTACCATCCAATTTTCAAGAATTTGTGCAATGCAGGAGGTTATGTAACATATGAACTCGGTTGTTTGTTGATTCTTTGTAGGCCATTTTCCATCTGAGGGATGATATTTTCGTTGACGAGATCTATATTCTAGCAAGGGAATCTTCACTCGACGGAACGAGCATAAAAGCACTTTCCTGCAGCGCGCTTGTCATAATTCTGACAGTCCATGCGCAGGATTTTGCCGACGTCAATGGTGATTGCAGGGCAGGACGACGAACTCTCCCGATTATAACGCCCGAAGGATCTCGTATCTACATGCTTTGTGCACTTCCGCTCTTTTCTTTCGCGCTTGCATCATTTTGGAGTTTTGGGCCTCTTTCCACTGTTCTTTTTGTTTCTATGGGTTCTTGGGTCGGAATTCGCTACTTTCTCTTCCGCGACGAGATTTGTGACCAGTCAACCTACCGCCTGTATAACGTTCGTATTTCTATTCACATTTCCTTGTCTGTTACCTAGCATTTATCATTCCCTACAGATATGGCTCGTAGGCGTTCATCTTTTGCCAGCTAATGTGCGCTTTCGTGCGTTGGTGTGGTAGCACCTCATTGTGTCGTTACCATGGTTGGGGAAGCATTCTAGATGACTTCCCTCACAAAACTGTCATTTGACTCGAAGAAAACATCGGTGATAGGTCACTTTCCAAGGGCATGGCATGGGTGCTACTAGTATAATATTTGTGGACTCGATTTAGGCATCCGTTTTACATGCATCACAACTTTCAATCTGCTTTTTTTAATTGCTCAAGCGTGGGCCTTAGCACTTGCGGCCATGGGATCTATCATGCAAGAGTACCAAAAACGCCGGCGACAAAGGCGTTGCCAGATGCATTTAAACTTTACGTCACTTGTTGTCTGCCTCGAACCTACGCTGTACTTAAAGCTATTTTGGCAAAGGCGTCAAGTATGGAAAGCCGCTCATTACATGTCCTTCTGAGGTATCCTGATCGGCGGCAATTTACCCCTTTCCGGCCCCTGTCACTGACCACTTTCTGACCTGCAAAACCAACCACTAATTGAACAGCGCCATCACAGCTATTTTTCACTAGAACGCTGCGCAGCCGACATAATTACTTTGCGATGGGTAATTACTTTTCTCGAAAGTCTATAGTAAGTTCATGTACTTGCGTTCAATGTGAAGTCACAGATTACCTTCAATAGAAGAGAAATGGGAGTCCCCAGTTCCCTTACCAAACACATCTCAAAATTGAGTCAACGGATATTCCTGTGGATAAAATCAAAAAACTTGAGGCGTTCCCAAGTGGAACAGGAGGACTTGGCGATGTCTGGAAGTGTTTTTGGTCTCGACCATCCAGGACCTGTAAGGTCAGTGCTCGAACTTCTAGGCCAGGATTCATCATATCCACAATCTTCAAGGTTGCGGTCAAATCAGTTAGGATTCCTCAAGGAAATGACAAACTGTTGGTGTACAGGGCCAGCCATGTGCGTGCAAAAAGTAACTGAAAGATTCTTTGTTCACGGATTTTGGATTTGCTCGCCCAACAAACAGAAAATTTGTTGCAAATCTTATGTTTGGATCACTCTGGCACATGAAAATATTCTCATCTTTCATGGCATTATTGAACGCTTCGGGCTACTTCCGGCACTAGTTTCCCCGTGGATGGAAAATGGGTCGCTCGATAGCTATCTGAAACAGGGACATATTCTTTCCAAAGCCGATAAACTAAGAATGGTACGCCCGTATCTCGCAAAACAGGACAAATTCTGATGGGTCTTCAGTTAGGACAGATCTCAGCCGGCCCCGAGTACTATACATCTATATATTTTCCGCGTCTGGATCAGATGTGCTCATAGACTTGTTAGTGCATTACAAAGGGGTGATTCATGGCGATTTGACATGTGTACGTGTACAAATTTTGCATTTATGATGTTTCAGGATGATAACTCGACAATCTACAGACCAATGTTCTGATTGACGACGACGGGAATCTCTGTCTTGCCTACTTCGGTCTCTCGATGATCCTTATGGAAGCACAAAACTCTCCCTTTGATGACTGCCACCCAGGTCATGTGCGGTGGATGGCACCCGAGATGCTCGCTATACCTGAAAAAGGAGGAGTGGTGATGCCCACCAAAGCCGCAGATGTTTACTCATATGGTTGTATCATGCTCCGGGTGTGTAGGCCCCCATTCGATTCCGTGTAAGTTATGTTGCTGATATCATGCAGCTGTTGTGCGAACATGTCCCTTATCGTTGGTTAAGGCAACCGTTTCATGTTATTGCAGCAAGAGTTGCAGGAATAGAACCTTTCCGTCAATTCACTGGTGTTGAAGAGGTACACAAGGTATATTCATTGAAATGTTTATCTGTTAACCCCGAAGATCGACCAGGGGCCTCCGAGATTGTGGAGTTCTTAGAAGAAGATTTTTGGACAGACTAGTCAAGGACAGACATTCAGAGTTACAAAAATCTGTACTTGAGGGATGCTAGTAGGACTCGCATGGGCACCAGCTCAGGTATGGGGCCGTCACATCATTGAGCTCAATGCTGTCACGCGCCGGAAGTGGAGAAGACCTACTTAATGTTTCTGAAGACAGAGGATATTATCGTCATGCCCTAGATCTGACCAGCCAAGTGGAATTTTAGTAAGTCTGAACCCCTCCCCCCAACTCAACTTATTTGATCATACAAGTGACAAGACAAGGTGGCTTGAAACTAGCGAGCCATGTTTTGGAGAAGTGTGACAAATCCCCAGCGTCGGCACTTTCTTCCTCCCCCCATACGTTGTTACCCGTATTCTCTCGCACTGTACATTACCCCTCTTTCATATCTTTCTGTGTTGTCTATCGACAAACTCCCGCAGACATCTGGGGTGAAAGGAGGCTATCATTGTTGATGAGGAAAACAAAATTCGATCATGGATCTGCCAACGCCCCTGGGGTTGTTCCAGGGCTAAGAAAAGAAAGACCTGAAGTTCATCTTGTGTTTGTGAACCGAAGTGCCCGCTCCAGGGAGTCGTCATCTGCTGGGTCGAAATTTTCTTGTATGTCGCCCAGAACTTTGAGTTGACATCTTTGCCGCATTCTTCCATGATCGAAGAACCTCCAGAATCTGCTCTGGGGTGTTTGACATCAAACACCCCAGAGCAGATTCTGGAGGTTCTTAGAGGGTCTATATCGAGAGGTAACGAGACTCGGACTAAGGACAGACTCAGTCTTGGGTTGAAAGACCCCGGGAGATCATCCGACGAGGGGAGGAATTAATACGTTTGATTGGGACGGAGAACCAATGGGAAACGTGTATGACGCATGGTAGGATTGGTGATTGTGTATGTAAAATGGAAAGATTAAGTACGTATGAAGGTCATATCTTGATACTCCCACTCAGACGCAAATCACTAGAGACACGTGTGTAGTTCATTCAGCTGGGTCTTCGTTTGAAGGTGAACGGAGAGCAAGCGAGTGACGATGGTTGCAGAAAAGTTTTCGTGGTAGGGATTTCGTGAAGATGTCGGCAACCATATCGTGTGTAGGTACATAAGGAATAATGATGGTCCTGTCGCTGACTAGATCTCGAACGAAGTGATAGCGAACGTGAATGTGCTTCACCCGATCATGGAATTGCGGGTTTTTCGTTAGCGCGCGACTTCCATTGTTATCACCATACAGCGTGGTAGGGGTGATCAGCGACAGGTCAAGACCAAAGTCGCATAGCAGCTGACTGAGATGGATCTGCTCGCGGGCCACGTTAGAGAGGGAGATGTATTCAGCTTCGGTGGACGAAGTCGCAACGACGGATTGCTTTTGGGAACGCCAACTAATGGGGGGAACAGAAAAGATAGTAAACATAGCCCCCAATCGAGCGGCTGTCGTCCTTGTCAGATGCGAAGTCTGAGTCTGAGTAACCAATGAGTCCTTGGTTGGATAGACCAAAAGGTCAGGGAATGATGCGTGGATCCACGAAGGTAACGGAGGAGATGGTGGAGCTGGCGGTAGTGCTCTATGCCAGGGTTGCTCAAATATTTTGACAACACCGACACTGCATATGCGATGTCGGGACGACTAACACGCATGGCGAAGTTGAGTTCCCCAACTGACACGCGCATATGGCATGTGCGCGAACTGTTTGACTTCAGTTTGAGTGAGGGGTGCAGACGACTTCGTCAAGGAGATGCCTGGGACCATGGGGGTAGATACTGGGCGGCAATCCGACATCCGAGTTTCACTGAGAATTTGCTCGAGAAAAGAGGATTGATTGATGGTAAGGAGCTTCTTGGGGCGATCTCGCGTGATGTGCATCCCTAAGAAATGGCGTGCTTCGCCAAGATCCTTCATCTCGAAGCGCTTGCTCATTTCCAATTTAAAACCGTTAAGGAAGGCCCGACAGTTCGACGCAAGCAACATGTCGTCAACATAGACGAGGAGCCAAATAGTCTTGTCATCCTTGTGTAAAACATACAGACTATAGTCTGCTTCGCTGCGAACAAAATTAAAACCTTCTTTCCGCAAGAAATCATCGAGTGTCTTGTTCCATTGACGACCAGCTTGCTTTAGCCCATAGATGGCTTTGAGGAGTTTCCAGACCCAATCTGGGTGCTCATTGTCTTCGAAACCCGGGGGCTGACGCATGTAGATTTCTTCATCAAGCTCGCCATTGAGGAAAGCGGTCTTCACAGTCCATTTGATCGAGTTCAAGGTCAAACTTAGCGACCATGGAGAGTAGCGCACGTACGGTGTCATATTTTGCAACAGGGGCAAAGGTGTCGGTATAGTCTAGGCCTTCGATCTGCGTGAAACCCTGCGCAACAAGACGAGCCTTGTGTCGGGCAATCTGACCATTCTCGTCATACTTGTGCGAGTATACCCATCGTGAGCCGACTGCTTTTCTCCCTGATGGGAGTGGTGTTAGGATACCCACTCCTTTTTCTCCCAATGACGCTAACTCTTCATTCATCGCACTTTCCCAATGGCCCGAATCTGTTGACGAGCGAGCCGCAGTTAACGTTTTCGGAGGGAGCTTCCGTCCATCAATCTTATTGCTATCCGCCGAAGACACGTGCTTCGCAGAGTGTTCAATGGTGATGTCGGGGGTAGCACTAATGCTACAATCTTGTTCTTCGTCAGCTTCCTCCTCAACTGTGACTGGGACGTAGGTCCAACGCCGCTGTACTGGGACGTGTTTGGTTGGGATGGCAACAGTCTTTGGAACTGCTGGTCGCGCGTCGATGCGTTGGCGTGTCGATCGTCGTGGCTCAGGAGATGGTACCGTTTCTACCTGGAACTTCAGTAGGAACGGGAAGAACATTATCGTTTGACTGCGGGAACGGCCGTGGAGGTTCGGGGATGGGAGGAGCAGAAAATGGGAGTACTCCCACTGAAACGGTACTGGGTCCTGGTAGTGTGAATTCAGAACCATCTTCTCTAGGTCGTGTGATTTTGAAGGCGTCTTCTGATGTTGGCAAATCGTGTGGCAATGCGGGAGTGGACTTCTGTGTTAGCATGCGCTGATTGTACAATTCAACAAGGGGTGAGAGAACTGAATTGGGTGTGCCGTAGAAGAAGTTTTCATCGAAAAGAACATTCCGGGAGTGTACCATCTGTCGTGTCGCTGGATCCCATAGAGTATATCCCGCGTCCTTGACGTGTCCTAATAAGAAGCACCGCCTCGAAACAAAGTCGTATTTATGTCGATTGTCGTCTGGGATGTGAGCATATGCGAGGCAGCCAAACGGCCGTAAGTGCGAGACATTTGGTAGTTCACCATAGAAGAGTTCGAACGGTGTCCTGTTGTCAGTGGCTGATGACGGAAGGAAATTCTTGATGTACGCTGAGTTGAGGATAGCGTGACCCCAGAACGAACGAGGGAGGCCACTCTGGTGGTGGGCACTTAATGCTCGCAGTAGCAATTGTCTGGTGGCCACGTTCTGCAACACCATTCTGTTCCGCTGTGTATGGCATCGTAAGTTCGTGCTCAATTCCCTTACTGCGTAGGAACTCGATGGTAGCGTGAGAGACATATTCACCAGCCGTTATCACTGCGGAGACGTTTGACCCGTTGTCCTGACTAGGTTTTCGATCCAAGCGATATATTGCAGAAGGTGAGAGTATACCTCACTCTTGTGCTTAATGAGGTAAATGGTCGAAAAACGTGAAAAATCATCCGTGAAGGCAACGAAGTATGTTTCGCCGGATGGGGTTGCGGTGTTGATGGGTCCCCAGACATCAGTGTGAACGAGTTCAGCGACATGCGTTGCACGATGCCTGAGCATGAGGCGGGAACGGGAATCGTTTCTGTTTTCCCATCAGGCACGACGGACAGTCAATGTGGTCACCAGGTCCTGCAGACTTGTCTGGTAGGTCAAGAGACAGTCCTACTACTACCTTCTCAGCTTTGCGCAAGGTGGAGTTGGCGGCATGGCCCATGCGTGCATGCCATATAGCCAATGGTAAGGACGTCGTTGAAGTGGTCCTGACGGCAAAGGCCGTATGGGTGTGCTTGGCTCGAAGGTAGTATAAACCAGCAGCGCATTCCACACATGCGATCACAGTTCCATCGTCACGATGCATTTGCCCTCCTTTAGTATCTGTTTCGAAGAAAATTCCTTCCGATGCTAGAGCAGATACGGATATCAGTGTGCACCGTAGGTCTGGTACATGGAGGAAGGGGAGTTCGATGGACTCATGTCTTCCATTGTTGTCAAGCGCTAGCGTGATGAATCCCCAACCTGGGGCAAGAACAGTATCGTCATTTGCAAGTTTCACGATTAAGGGAGGGTTGTAAGTTCTATAGCGAGTGAAGAGGGAGTGCTTGGATTCCATATGTGCGGTAGCGGCAGAGTCTACGTGGAATTGAAAGGAAATAGTGCTCGTATTAGAAAGGCTGGCAGAATGTGTAGGAAGACGAAGAAATGATGGAATGCTGTCAGGTTGTCCTGATGTGAGAACTGACACGTTAGTGCCTTCCGAGGGTGAAGGAGGAATGCATGCTGACGTATTGGGCGAGTCTGATTTTGCTAGATGGGCACTGGCAGTTGTGCCAGATGTAGGCCCGTGCGCTTGCAAGATCCGCAGGTCGAAACGCCACGACAACTCCCATTTATCTCCCTTGGAAGCGTCAAAATCCTTCGGCTTGGCACGTTCGGTAGGTTTACCTGCTTTCATTGTCCTAGCAGCCATGGCCGTGTGGTGCGTGTGCGGGTTTGCGGAACCAAAACTCGCATAGTATTGCTCTGAGTTTCTGATCTGGCTGATTAACACCTTCCAGTGTTAGCTTTCCAGCATTGGCGTCAGCGCTATGGAGTATGAGCTGAGATAGTGATGCATAAAAATCGGGAAGGGCACGCAGTAGCACTTGAACAGGGTATATTCATTGCACTTCCACTCCGCAGATTCAATGACCTTGAATTGAGCTTTGATGTCTGTGATTTCCTTAATGGTCTTGGTAAGGGAGTCACTGTCGGATGCCTTGGAGAGATCAAAAACACAGCCCATAAGGCTCGTAAAGCGGATGCTGACAGATGCCTGATACTTGTCCTCCAGCACCTTCCAGATGGTGGCTGGGTCAGTGACGCCCATGAAATGGATGAGGTCACTTGAATGTACCGCCATACCGAGAAGTCCCTTGGTTATACTTTGGCGTTCTTGGAAAGAAATGACGTCCACACTTGCATCATGTGTTGCGAGGCGTTTGTTGAAGTCACTGTCTGTCTCAATGGCACCTTTGATCGGGCGCTGAGGACCCTTCTCATCACCGGTAAGGAGGCGCCAAAGGTTGAAGAGCGAGAGCCAAAGGTCCATGGACGTTACCCACGAATTGTAGTTGGAGCCATTGGCATCCAGAGGAGAGTGAGGAAAGGATGATGGGATTCGGATGTTAGATGACGAAATGGTAGACATTACTGATGTAGAATGATGTGTCGGCGATGGCGACAATAGAATGGGAAGAGTAAGTGGGTTTGGTAACGAGCGGTTGGAACGACGGGGGTCAACGGTGGTGACGGTGGCAAGGGGATGAATAGGATCCGCGGGTCAAGCGGTGATAGAGGGCGGCCTTGTTCCAGTTCGGGAAAAATCGGGGAGGCTCAGATAGGGCAAGTGGAAGCGAAAGAAAAACGAGTGTGAGGCCTAGTCTGAGCCAGGGCTCATAACCTACCGAGAGGTAACGAGACTCGGACTAAGGACAGACTCAGTCTTGGGTTGAAAGACCCCGGGAGATCATCCGACGAGGGGAGGAATTAATACGTTTGATTGGGACGGAGAACCAATGGGAAACGTGTATGACGCATGGTAGGATTGGTGATTGTGTATGTAAAATGAAAAGATTAAGTACGTATGAAGGTCATATCTTGATAGTCTACTCTCTCCCACTCAAGGGGGTCACAACATACAAGCGCCAAACCGTGGCGACTTACTGCTTGTGCACGGCAAAGCCGACCTTAAAAAAGGGCTATCCCGGCGCAACAACAAAATACATTGGCGGTACCAAGCACCAATTTGACGATGATAACTTGTATCTGGGATTCCGTCTACAGGCAGTGACAAGCACGAAAACATCCGGTGGTTCGTTCACAGCACTATGTCCAAGTGGAATTGCGACACAGGACTTCTTGTAGGGGAACCATGAAAAGACGAGGGTGGTGCTGGCGCTTTCACAGGCCGGCGAGACAATTGTGCGCGGGAAGTGGGCAACCACTGATGAAAGATGCACATGATGAGAGATCATAGTCACAGTTGGGGAAAGTCACTTGTGTGGCCCCAAAAAGATCTTTTGATTGCTAGCAGATTATATGAACAGAAACAACCCCCCGGGTCCGAAATGCAAAAAGCGGAGAAGTGGTCCATCATGATGGAGGAGAGCCTCAGGAGCCGAAGCGACTTGAGTCCGACCGGATCGGGATTCGGGAATATTATAGTACCGTCGGGGATTTTATTCGCCTAAGTTGGCAACGCCACGACTCCAAGCTTGAAGTCCATTGATCAACTTGAAGCTAGCGAAGCTGCGGACTGAAGTCATCTTGAACTTTTTTTACCCAGCTCGCCCCTTCAATTAATAATATCAGGTCTTATCTTTATTTCTCTATGGTCGGTTTAGCGGAAACTACTTACGTGGGGTCCGCACTAATGATGTTCCCTTGCAGCTAGACTTGAACGCCTACGATAAAGTCGTGCAATTGGTTCTAACTTCTCGAGCGCTTCTGTATCATTATATGTGCCAAGATTTGCCAAACATCAGGTATTTGGTTAAGCGACCCATGCTAAAATAACCATCTTCACCACCTTTTTGCTCGCTGGCTCGGACTCGGACAGTGATTCAGACTCGGACACTCGGACACCCGGACACCCAGACAAGTATGTTATCATCAACTGTAGCCATCAGGCAGTGATCTATCATTGCTGCGGAAGAAGCTCTATTCACAGAACTTGATCGGCTTTCAGTAGTGCAAGCGCTTGCCGCTGTGTATTGCAAAATATTCCTCATTGCGGCGCACATCTCTATGTTCTGTTCTGCTTTCGCCGCAAAACAATGTTGCACTCGTGCACAGCTCCTAGGCACGCCTCCAAATGGACCCAATTTTGGTTTGCGGTCAACTGTACACCGCTTTACTGAGAGTGGCGTGTGGCGCCTTGAGGAGTCGAAGCAAACCTGCCTATTTGCGTCATCAAAACAAACAACGTTCTCCCGCATGCTGAGGTATATTATCGTTACCACTCGTATATCGCTAACTCTAGTCTCTTAACGGTAACCTGAATAATAACCTTCCAAAGTATCACTTCAGACGAGGCTAGGATGACTGCAAACACAGCCTGAAATACGAGCATATGGGCTCCGCGTTATCCATGTCTGGCTGTCACCGCTCATGTGAAATGGAACTACGGGAACCAAAAATTCAGCCCGAAATACGAGCCTATGGGCTCCGCGTTATCCATGTCTGCCTGTCACCGCTCATGCGAAATGGAACGACGGGAACCAAAAATTCAGCCTGAAATACGAGCCTATGGGCTCCGCGTTATCCATGTCTGCCTTTCACCGGTCATGCGAGATGGAACGATGGGAACCAAAAATTCAGCCTGGCCGTCCTTTCAAACTATATAATGATGCTAGATAGCAAAAAGACTCCAAATACTAATGTCCCGCTTCACAGCGACCACTTTGCGCTGTGCACTGCATCACTTCGAGACTGCTTGGCTTTTCACAAGATCTGACTTCAAGACAATAATTTTCCCCGTGGGTATTCATTCCGGCAACAACTATCACTGCACGACGCTGAATTTTTGTGGTAGATGATATTTGCAACTGTTGTATCTCCTCGTCACAGCCCGCTAGGCCTATCTTGCGCCTCTCTGCTGGCTTTGGTTCCATCTCTTTCAATTCAATGCGTCTAACCAATCTTACTCTTCTCATGAAGATGTCTTGAACAAACCATGGCGTCCTGTGGCGTCCGGGCGCATTAGCGTGAAAGACTCCCGTGCATTGCGCTGGGGACTCATGGTTTTCTGCTTGGGGCATTTCATCCCTTTTCAACTTAAACGTCGTTATAACCAGTGGTGTTTTACTCCGTGTTCGTGGCCATGCATGATGATTTTCATCTCAGTCGCCATCCCATTTTCAAGAATTTGTGCACCGCAGGAGGTTATGTGGCAAATGAACTTGGTTGTTTGTTGATTCTATGTAGGCCATTCTCGATCTAAGGGATAATATTTCGTTGACAAGATCTATATTCTAGCAAGGGAATCTTCACTCGACGGAACGAGCGTAAATGCACTTTGCTGCAGTGCACTTGTCATACTTCTGACAATCCATGCGCAAGATTTCGCCGATGTTAATGGTGATCGCAAGTCAGGACGACGAACTCTGCCGATTGTAGTACCCGAAGGATCTCGTATCTATATGCTTTGTGCACTTCCACTATTTTCTTTTGCGCTTGCCTTATTTTGGAGTCTGGGGCCTCTCTCCAGTGTTCTTTTTGTTTCTATTGGTTCTTGGGTCGGAATTCGCTACTTTCTCTTCCGCGACGAGATTTGTGACGAGTCAACCTACCGCCTGTATAACGTTCGTATTTTCTATTCATATTTCTTTGTCTGTTATCTAGCATTTATCATTCCCTACAGATATGGCTCATAGGCGTTCATCTTTTGCCATCTAATGTGCGTTTTCGTGCATTGGCGTGGTAGTACCCTCGTTGCGTCATAACTATGGCGGGGGAAGCATTCTAGATGACTTCCCTCACAAAACTGTCATTTGACTCGGAGGAAACATCGGTGATAGGTCACTTGCTAATGGCATGGCATAGGTGCTACTAGTATAATATATGTGCACTCAATTTAGGCATCCGTTTTACATGCACTGTAATAATTTTCAACCTGCTTTTTAATTGCTCCCTCAGCACTTGCGACCATATAGGATGTATCACAATTGAGCAATGCAAAAGTACAAAGAGCGCTACCCGACGAAGGCGTTGCCAAATGTGTTGATGTAAACTTTACGTCACTTGTTGTCTGCCTCGGCCCTCGAACCCACGCTGTACTTGGAGCTATTTTTGCAAGAGCGTCAAGGACTCGCCACATTCCCCGCCCACTCGGGGCAAAGTGCTCTCAATGCTACTAGTACAGTCTTTCCGTCGATCGAAACAGCCAGTGGACGACTCATCGATAACAATAAGTTACATATGTCAAGTAGTACGGGGCGGAGATTGGGAATCCGAGTCTATCACTTAATGCCAAACATTCCCATGTGAAAGCGGTCAACAGATTTACGCTGATTGTTGCAATGCTCAACAATATATTGCTTGTATATCATTCTCATCTGTTCACTGGTTCACTGATGGGCCCACGTTGGAGGCGCCCAGGATGCGCCGATACTATCCGATTGGCAGATCTTGAATGTGAGCTATTTTGTACTTAGGCTACTGATTCGTTTAAGATCTATTATTATTACTGAATCTTTGTTAGAGTGTCCACACCGTCTTCGTTGTACTGCGGTCTCAGTTACATACTCGTACAGCATCCCATCTATCTGAATTCTTTAGGTTCATTTGCGTTATCGCACGATACAACTGGGGCAAGATATTACTTGTCAATGTTGACATTTACCTATGCTCACGCTACTTTTATAGATCTAAGTTAACGCCACTGCGCGCCTTTCACTCCTTACCCTCTACCACCATGGTGAATACAAGCCTCAAATACGTAGACCTCATACGCCAGCGCACTTCAAAGTGGGCGAACTGGTTCCCCGAAAAACAGGACATTAGAGTCAGTTCGACGCCACTCTTTGCGAGAATTCGTCTTCATGACGATTCGTATGATCTAGGTTGGATCGTATGGTCGTTTTAACGCCCAGACAGGGAGGTTCGATGTTGAAGGAAACGTGTACGATCCCGAGTTTCAGAAGCTGCTCGACGCTACCGATGGTAAAATGAAGCTCTCTGATTATCCGCCGGTGCTCGACGAGGAGGAGAAAGACTTTGCTGTTGGATCTATGGGCGTCAGGCCTAAGGATTTCAGTCTTGGATCAGACGCGTAAGCTTTTGACATAATCAACCTTTGAGAACTTCCCTGATTTCTACTACGATAGCGTTGAGGGCATTGACAAAGCAGCGTATAAACAAGACTGGCAGTTTATGCAGGACAAACGAGGCGCGATGCTCGTCATGTGCAAGCCCCGTCAAGAGCATTTCCCTAAAGGAAAAGTATTTGAAGCGCTCTACAAGGTTCCAGAGCTCAAGGACAAGTACATCGTCCCATCGGTGTACAAGTGTCGTGCTTATGCTATTTATTTGTCTAACAAGAGTGCGTCCATTCCTATCGTTTCATGTACATCTGAGATCTAAGGGAAATAATAAGCCGGCGAGAAGATTTCAATGGCGCTTCTCCCGAAATCTGGCGAAGACAACAAGACGCAGCTCGACTGGTGGACTGATTCAAAGGTAGAAAACCTTCAAATCAGATCGGATAAAGACTACGTGTTCTCGCCGCTTTTCACTTGCAAGCGCAAGATCCCCTTGATTCGTCCCCTGATGCGCGACTCACCTACTCCGGATCCTGTGGATGAGGGCTTGTACGTCTCTTGTCTCATCTTTCGACCGCATTACTGACCGGACAAAAGTTGGATGGAATGTTACCCACCTTGGGAGCCACTCGATGACGATGGAGAGATCGATCCAGTGTATGATGATGATCAAGAGGTGTGTACTTGAAGTTTCTCGCAACAGACATCAGAGACTAATGCTGTGTATCCAGGATGACCCCAACGTCTACGTCCCGCGAAGAGACTCTGTATATGTGCCATACCCTATTTCAGATGACAGTGACGATGAGTGATGGCTGGTTGGGCTCTTTTCTTCTTGTTATATCAGATTGACTTTGCCGTATGAGATGTATGATTAATTGTGTAGTGGATGTTCGAGTACATGTATGTGCAGTGATATCTAGGTTTGTTGGTGTTGTAATCAAGTCGTAATCATGCAAGTTGCGATGCATGCACAGCAAACACAGGCCAGATTCAACTATATCTAGTACTGTCGGCGCATGGCGGTTCCAGTAACCGGCGCTCTTTCTTTAATAATAATCGACTACTCTGCAGAGTCTGCACCATATTGATGGGGAACGCAGCTCGGAAGTACATCGATCTCATCAGACAATCCACAGCGAAGTGGGCCAACTGGGATCCACCTATACCCATACAAGTAAGTTTCTCATCGGTTTCATGGCTGCAGTTTATAATCTCGCATGCAGGTCGGTGCATATGGCAGGCTGAATACTGAGTCGGGCGAATTGGACATCGAAGGCAACATCTATGATCCGGAATTCCAGATCTTGTTGGATAAAGTGGATGGGAAACTGAAGCTAGCAGACTTCCCTCCTCAGATCGGTGCCGTGGAGGGCGACTTCATAGTATGTACGATGGGTGTCCGGCAGAATGATCTCAAGGTTGATGGGGAAATGTGTGTACCGCGCGCGGTCTATGCGAGGGAGGATCCAGACTGATTGATGGTTTGATAGAAATGTCGCTGGTCTCGGCCAAGCATCTATCAAAGGAGAGTGGCAGTTTCAGCGCGGCAAGCGTGGTGCCCTCTTGATCATGCACAATCCGAGACAAGAATACGTTCCGCGCGGCAGGGTTTTAGAGGCGCTATACAAGGTCCCAGAGCTCAGGGATATGCACATCGTCAATTCCATCTTCAAGTGTCCCGCCTACACTATATATCTTTCGGACAAAAGTATGTTTCCAGCACACTGTGTCCTCGTACTCCTGCTCATTGCAGTAATCAGGTGGAGAGAAGATTTCCTTAGCACTTACTCCCAGCGCGAATGCAGCTGAGCCCCAACAGTGGTGGTCAGATACGAATGCAAGCCTGCTGCGGAAGGGGCAGCACCAAGATTACATGTTCACGCCACTGTATGGGCTCAAGCGCAAGCTGCCATTGATACGACGTCTCATGCGAGACTCTCCTGTACCTGATCCCGAAGGTGATGACTTGTCAGTATCATCTCGGAGTTTCGTTCTCTCTGAATAATCAGTCTGACGTGTTGCTCTTGGTAGCTGGGTAGACGTGCATGTACCATGGGATCCCCTGAATGAGGATGGCGAAGAGGAGTATTCATTAGAGGTATGTCATGAATTTTGACCTCATTCGTTTTGATGAATCTGGCGCAGGACGATGATGATGGATGGGTGGCACGCCCGGAGAAAGAAGAGGAGACCGATAGCATATGACCACCCTTATGACTTGCATTCCATTATGATTCCACCGACATCTCCCCAGTTGATCGATCTTGTCCTACATTAGTATCTTCTCAAATGTTGTAGCACCGCCCCATGAGCCCATTTTTATCTAGTTGGCACGTGCAATTTGATATGCTGCACGGAGTAGGAATCCAGTGTGATCACTTTCCAGCGTCCTTTGTCTCTTTCTTTCCTTCTTCCCGTATTCTTCACTGAGCAGTACTTAGGTAATTATCCTCTACTCGCGAAGATGCACTCACTGTATGACTGGTGGAATCGTACTTTCAGGGGCAGCATGACCAAGCCCGGTTACACCACAGATCAGTACCCAAAGGTCTTAGAGGGCAATGATCTCGAGGCGCTTGCGAGATATATGAAGTCAGATAGCTGTCGGAATGTCTTCCTTATGGTGAGTTCCCTTATCACCTCCGAGTCAAGATTTGAATTGTTGACACCGACATTATGACGAAACTAGCTTGGCGCAGGTAGGCTACTCTTGCTAGTGCCAAATTACTGTCTTCTTATATGTGTTATTAGGTGTGAGTACATCTGCCGGTATACCGGACTTCAGATCACCTGGTACAGGTAAGTCATACATAGCATCTGGTTCTGAGATGCAGATTAATGTATGATCTAGGATTATACGTAAGTGTGTGGTGCGCAGCGCGCCACCGCAAATGAGGAACATTAATATGATATTGCACAGGCCAATCTCGCACGGCTGAATCTCCCATTCCCAGAGGCGGTATTTGAGATAGAGTTCTTTAAGAAAAACCCGATACCCTGTGCGTCCGTCCGTACTTAGTCCGAGCGAAGAAAGGAATTGACCCGTGTTTATTAGTCTATACCCTGGCCAAGGAATTGTACCCAGGGCGCTTCCGACCCACGCCCACGCACAGCTTTATAACACTCCTCCATTCGCATTCCCTGTTGCATACATGTTTCACTCAGAACATAGACACGCTCGAGCGACGCGCAGGAGTTCCCGCGCATAAGATTATCGAGGCACATGGGAGCTTCGCCACCCAGCGGTGCATTGAGTGTGAAACGCCCTTTGATGCAGAGAAGATAAAGAAGGCGGTGTTGAGCGAGAAGATAGAGATTCCGAGGTGTGAACGGAGGAGGTGCCGGGGCCTGGTGAAACCGGACATTGTCTTCTTCGGTGAAGGGGTATGTTTGAGCTTCACGAAATCATACAGCGTGGCTGACTGTTGGAGCAGCTTCCTGAACAATTTCACAAATCTATCCCCAATCTGCAAGAAGCGGATTTATTGATTGTATTAGGAACATCGCTGACAGTGCACCCATTTGCCTCTCTTGTGGACCTTGTGCCGAACGACTGCCCTCGGGTGCTGATTAATCTCGATGAAGTTGGCCACTTTAACAAGCCAGACGATGTGTTATTCCTCGGCAAATGCGACGATGTCGTGCGGGAACTATGCAAAGAACTAGGATGGGAGGAAGAGCTTGATGCCGCTTGGGAGAAGACGAAGGACAGCTTGGAAGCTGGTGAGCAAGAGCCAGAACCAGAACCAGAGGAATCAGCAGAGGACGAGGTGGAGAAAATCACAAAGAGTCTAGAGCAGACGCTCAAAGTCAGCGACAAGAAGGATGAAGAAGGACCTTCGTCGAAGAGCAAGGCTAGTGATTTGGTAGAACCGGGATCAGTTGAAGAGGTCAAGACGAGCCCTGCAGAGTTCCCGACAGAGGGCAAGCTATAGTGCGTCGAGGTGATGGAGATTAGATAACTTGCTGTGCAGTTTAGGTTGTACGTGCTCGTGTTTCCATGTTTCAAACGTTGAATAAAGTGCATGTTGTGGGCAGAACTACCAGGGGTCAGTTATGTCGTGCCGGGCACTGACAGAATAACCGGTACTGCCGCGTGGTAGAGGTCTGAAGGAAAATATCCTTCTGCGAGCATCGGATCATGATGTCGATCGAGATGATCATCTTCCTTTTTATGATGACATCTTTACACTGCTTGCACCTGATGAAGCGTATTTTTGTTTCGCGGCAAGGTGACGTACCAACTTTTTTATCTGAGAAGTACGAGGAGAGGGTAGGACAACAAAACACCTTCGCAAAGATATGCACCAACTGAAGGAGCGAGTATTCCAAGGACATCTGAAATAATGCGTCTCATGCGAGAGTTATGCGCGAAAAGACGCAGTAATATCTTTCTTGACCTGGCATACTAGCTAATAGCTGTCTCCACGAAACGAGTTTCTCAACGTTTCAAATAAAGTCAATCAAGAAGGGACGACTGTCCTCCTCCCTCTGTGTGGTCTGGCTAGGGGAGACTAGATCCGAAGTCGCGAACCATGGGACTTGTCTTCAGAAGACGCTCGCTGTTGATACACACATTAATGAGATGTTATTTGAAATCATTCCAGTAAATGGTACCTTCAACCATCAGGCCGCCCATAGCTGTGTCAACCTTTCCATGATCCAATTCGCTCAACCTCAGCATGCACTCAACGGAACCAAATTGAGATACGCCACTGAATAATTCGGACGTGTGCCATCAACTGGACGCTTGATCATGTGAAACTTGTGTTTGAGATGATGATCGGCATCCAGGTGATGCGTCGGAGTTATCACCCTTAAGAAGCGAAGCTTGTAGATGCGGGCTTGATGAATTATCACGTTCGACGCGGTCGGTCATGACCTATGATAGGAATTGTGTTCGAGAAATTGTGAAGCAAAGCTCTAGCAGATCGTCGTTCGAGATGAGGAAGGTGGACACTGGAAAAGCCGCTGAGCTTGAACTTGCGATAATTGAAGACTTGTCTATCTGCTGATCACCGTTTTAACAGGCATCTTCTCCACCATTGCAGATCACTAACAGTGAACAGCTTTATCAAACAATTGGAATCGCCTATTTGAACAGCCTGTATTCTAAAATCATTTCCTGTTTTGCTGTCATTCCTGGACCCTCAATATCAATTCCCCACAAGTTCAGCGCCATGGAGGCTGTCGTTCCTCACGAAATCACGACAGAACTCACACAAATCCTTGCCAATCTCGTGCTTGGTGATAACAAGATACGTTCCAAGTGCGCGATCTTTTCAATAGGCGCGACTCGTGCTGAGAGACCTGCAGTGCAGAACAGGCGGTTAATGATAGACTAGCTCAGACACCAGACCTATACCTGCTCGCATTGGCTCAGTTCTCTATTGCAGCTGATACTGAAGTGGCAAGTTGATATGCATCATGTTTTAATAATGCTGCCCTCACTCAATGAAGCGTAGATGCGATCCTTCTCCTTGGTCTTACTTCGCAGACTTCTCTTTCGTGCTGCACCCGGTCAGCAACCCAGAGAAGGGCGTCTAACGCTTTACGACCAGCTCCCAGCCCATGCGTTGACAACCCTTGAGCGTCTACTGCTTCACTCTCTGTCTCATGAGCCATTAGATGCCGTTCGCAGGAAGACAGTTGATACAGTTTGCGATCTCGCAAACAATTCCATGTCTCGAGGGCGTCCTTGGCACGCGCTACAGGCACAAACATTTACTATGACGCAAACAGGTGAAGCTGGCTTCCGGGAGTGCGCTTATAGGTTATTTTCCGGCTGCCCCAATCTTGTAATGGATCTCCAGACAGATGCTGTTCTGACGGTTTTCCGAAAAGGTCTTCAAGACTCCCAAAGTGTCGAGGTACGTGGTCCTCCAGTTGCACTAATTGGTATTGACGGATGCTCCTCAGGTTCGGCTTGCTGCTCTCAGAGCCTCTGTATCCTACCTTACTGCATGTGATCAACATCAATTATCACAATCGCTCTCACTACTCTACCCAATGCTAGACACATTACCTTCGCTCTCAAATATTCACCTTAAATCTTTCCTCAGTTCGCTAACGCCGTTATGCTCATCTCATCCCAATCTCTTCGTGCCTCACATGAATGCCCTGCTGTCTTTCTTGCGTGGCTTGATAATGCCAAGCGTTGACTCGGGCCCGACACCCACAGTCGCTAAGCCATTCCCCGGCACATCACCAAGCTTCACGTTCCCTCCCGACGGGTCTGGTAGTCGAACTCCTGACGACAGTGACGAAGTCACAGAGGACGAGGAAAAAGAGTTGGTCAGGAAGGCTGCATTAGAATTTATGGTAAGCCTTACTGAGGCTAAACCTACATTGGCGAAGCGTTCGGAAGGATGGACGGCGGCTATGGTAAGAGCGTCTTTGGAGGGCATGGGGGAGTTACCAGAAGACACGTTGGACTCCTGGCTCGAAGCCGATGTAAGATACTTATTGTGCATTTGTCAAAGTATTCCACCAACTGAAACATCTTTAGCCCTCAGAGGACGCACAGGATGAGAATTATCCTCATGTATACGAGCAATCCCTCGATAGAGTGGCCTGTGCTCTTGGAGGTAAAGCAGTGCTTCCTCCGGCGTTTCAATATATTCCGTCAATGCTTGCCAATTACGACTGGAGATTGAGGCACGCCGGCCTGATGGCTATCGCAGCCATAGCTGAAGGCACAAGCAAGGTTTATATGACATGATGGTTTATGGCATAATCCAGGCCCACTCATTTGTTTATTAGGTGATGCAAATGGAACTTGGGAAGGTTGTTGAGTGCGTGTTCTTCAGTTTATTGCCTCGTTACCTTCATTGATCGTATTCCCAGCCTAGTTACTCCAATGTTCAAGGACGCACACCCACGTGTGCGGTATGCTGCGTGTCAATGCGTGTACGTTGTTTCGATCGTTGCATGATGTCCTCTTTCAATTGATGATTGATGCAGTGGTCAACTATGTACTGATTTGGAGGTAAGTTTAGTCAATCTGCCACCAGGATCCTCGTAGACGCTTGTACTCCAAGGAAATCATTCAAGATCGCTACCACGAGCAGCTATTTGCCGCATTGATACCCACACTGGAAGCGCCAGAACCTCGGTAACCCTTACTTCTCTGATTCCGTCACTTGTCCTTCGCCTAAACCTCGGTTTTAGGGTACACTCGCATGCCGCTGCTGCCCTGATCAACTTTTGTGAAGGTGTCGAACGCGACACTCTCGTTCCTTATTTAGACCCGATCGTTGAGCGTCTGCTTAAGATGCTCAATCCAGGGGCCGAGGATGGCAAAGCAGTCAAAGGCTACGTTCAAGAACAAGCTATTACAACTCTCGCTATGGTCGCTGATGCCAGCGAAGCAACGTTTGCTAAGGTATTATGATGCAGTCTTACGTGTCCATTCTTTAACTTACGCTCGCATATACAACAGCACTATAACTCCATAATGCCTCTCCTTTTGAATGTTCTCCGCAACGCCAACAGTTCTGACCATTACAAGTTACGCGCAAAAGCCATGGAATGTGCTGGTTTAATAGGTAAGACATGGCTGTTGTCGGCGTAAGTTTCCTTGACTGATCCTTGTCAGCAATTGCCGTTGGACGTAACGTTTTCCGTGCTGACGCAAATACGCTCATCGATCTTTTAATCAAAATTCAAAGTTAGTCCTTGACTGCCTCTAGAACAAATCTCGACAACCACTTATCATGTATAATAGATTCTCCTGTCGACCCCTCCGACACCATGCTGCCTACCTTTTTGATCGCTACTTGGGCTAAAATTTGCCAAGCTCTTGGCACCGAATTCGAGCCGTTCCTTCCTGTAGTCATGCCCCCACTACTGAACGCAGCCAGTGCAAAAGCTGATGTCTCTGTCTATGGTAATGTCAGTCATTCGGGTCACGGTATCCACTTACCTTGCTACACAGATGACGAAGACGATGTCGGCGAGACGAGAGAAGGCTGGGAGACTATCTCGATGGACGGTCAGATCGTTGGAATCCGCACTTCGACTATCGACGAGAAATGCCAAGCGTTCGATACTCTCGTTGTCTATTGCGCGACACTCAGCGGCCGATTCGCACCTTATCTCCCCCAGAGCTTGGAGCTCTCCCTTCCCGCTTTAAAATTCTACTTCCACGACGGCGTTCGCGAAGCTGCGAGTAGGTGAGTGCTCCCAATCGTCGTTACTGTTACTGCTAATGATCATACGCACAGATTGATTCCTTTGCTTTTCTCTTGCGGAAAGAACAGTGGAACACTAACATCGCAGATGGTAGCTGCTTCCTTCCTCCAGCTCATACACAGCATTCGAGCCGAAACAGACCCTTCGTTTCTTTCCTCGTTGTATAGAGCCCTCGCCGATGGGCTTCGCGTGGTTGGCATTCCAGCGCTCACGCCAGATCTACAGGCTGCCCTCATAGAAGCCACGAAGCATCAGCTTCAGACACTCGCAGATAAACGCAAGCGACGTGCAGAGTCCCCGGAGGACGATCGCGAGGAGCTTGCGCTGTTAGAAGAGGTAGAAGAGTTTGCTCTGGAAGATATGGAGAAGCTGCTCAAGATGTTGGATGGTCAGCATCCGCTTCTTGTGGCAGTTTCGAGTGTGAGAGATTTGGGGTTCAACCAATGGGATAGCGAAGAGGAACGAGATAGCGATCGTTAGCGCATGGAATGCGTTGTACCCATACTACGCAGTGGCTCCTAACATGTTTTTTCTTCTTGTATTAATGAGTTGATCATGCTCTATAATTCTGCCTTGTAATATCTGCCTGGCATGATCATGGTATTGCGCACTACAGGTAACAAGTACAAAAGCTTTTGTGTACGCGATCAAGGGCGTATCAGTGTATACAGAGAGTTGCACACAAGACAAGGGTCGCTAATGGCTGCAACCGCTATATAGCAAGTTAAAATCAACCAGATCAAGCAAATGTGGTGCAGTGCCGTAAAGGCGAAAGGGGGCACATGCAGATCAATCTCGCAAACAGTCAGGGTAATGATGAATAATTGATGGTATGCTAGATAAGATGATAACATGCTAGAGAATAACCAGGCGTTCCAGATATATATGCGAGCTGCACCCTTGTTAATGCAAATTAACCAATGGGGTAAGGGGGCGCATACGGATAGATAAGAACAAGAAACCAGGAAAGGGAGACGTCACAGGATGCCCGAGTCTTTGAGAGCGTTCTGTAGGATAGTCTCCTTGACCGCAGCGAAGACGAGTCTGATATTCGTCGTATCAGTGGCTTGTGTTAAGCTATGACGCAGTGAGTGACGAGCGAGGCGTGATGAATCACACTTACTGTGGGTACACACTTAGGCGCGCCCGATTGGCTTGCATGAACTTCCATAGAATATATTTTGCCGCTTTGTTGATATCTGCGCCACCTGTGTATTCTGGGAAGTACTTCTCAATTGGTACCTGCAAAGCGTTAGCAGATGTCCACGCGTCCGTAACGATGGATACATACCTTTGGTAGCTTGTTCTTGAAGACATCTATCTTGTTCAAAAATAATATGATGGAAGTTCTCAGGAACCAGCGGGAGTTGATGACAGACTCAAATAGGATAAGTGATTCCTGCATACGATTCTATTGACAAATTTAGTGCCAGCTAATAATTACGCGTGCACAGGACCTACCTGGTTCTTCTCTTCCAATAGTACTTGGTCGTATTCCGATAATGCTGTGCAGAAAATGATACTTGTTACGGATTCAAAACAATGTATCCATTTCTTTCGTTCGGAGCGCTGGCCGCCGACGTCGAACATATGGATGCTATGAGACCACAATCAGAAACAGAACTTTGACATGCCGGTGTACTCACGAGAGCTGTCCCATGTTAAACCGCGTTTCGGTGATGCCGGTTGTCTTCGCTCGAGCTCGTAGTACATCATTTTCTGTTGGTGTATAGTCGGGAGTACCTATACGAAGCACTTCCGTAAAGAAACTGCAAACGAATAGCGTGAGTATTTGTAATCCGAGTGAATATAAATACTCACTAGCTAGCCGAGTCCATAAGATAGAATTGGCTGGAACAGTCCATCACTTTGGAAATGATAGGATCTTGCCATAGTTCATGAATGGCATGTGCAATTTCGACGGAGAAAACAAAATCGGGAGTGTTTTCAACCCTGTAACCGACGATTTGTTCGGCGAATGTCTACGAAAAGCGATGAATTGAGGTATGGGAGAAAGCGAAAGCGAGAGAGAACGTACCCGATTCGCAGGTGTTACACACTCCACATTCATGTTACGCATTTGTAAGACAATGGCTTGCGCGGAGTCGAGGGTATTCCGATATATTGTCGGACGGAACGTCATGAGTTCGTTCTTGGTGAAGCCATTCTGATGAATGATTTTCATCTGCTTGACTATCGTTGACTTTCCGGATTCACCGGATCCTGAGGTTGGATATGATGAGCAGTAAGAACAAAGAAAGGGGGTTGAACGGATAAGTCGAAGGAAATAGACCAAGTAAATACAACCCCGGAGATGTTTGTCTCAATCATACAAAATAAAATGAAATAGACACAGCTTGAGGTAGAAAGGAAGATACGTACCGAGAAGAAGTATCTTACATTCCTTCCTAAACTTCCTGGAGTCCTCTTCTATCTGACGGTCAATAGCATCTGACCTAGCCTTCTCTTCCCTGTCCGATGCTGATGATACACAGTTGCCCATGATGAATTAGAAGAGCGAGCTAAGAGAAAAACAGTCGGTGAGAGGAATGTGATCTGGCCAGCGTGTATGGCGAACTGTTGAGATTTGATTGTGATAATGTTGAAGAACAAGTCTGCCAAAATGAAGAGGGTCGTTTCCTGAAAATGATATAGTCCGTTCGATTGCTTTCAAGGATGACAAGTCAAGGACAAGTTGAGAACTTGAAAGGACCTTGGCTACCCGGGCGGCTTTGTTTGTGGTGACCGTGATGGTCACATGTAACATGTAACGTGTACCGTGTGACAAGCGTCTACATCATCAATCACAAGAACCTTCTGGTAGTAATTTGCATTAACTGCTAGTCAACAGCTAGTACTGCTAAGCGTGGTTTCATAGTGATCATGATCATGATCCAAGAAGACGGCAGTACCAAGCGCTATGCATGTGCATGTGCATGTTACTCAGGCTGGACGGACGATACTCGACCGGTCGACCAGCGCTTTCAATCTTTGTTCCTGTTCTCAGCATCCCCTTGTTCCAAATCAGACCTGTGGCAAAGCACTGCCAGGGTGCACCGACCACTACGTAAAGTACTGCCACTAATTCATTATACTAGGCATTAGTCTAGATCGGTGCGTTGACTCGGAAAGGTTACGCTGACGATATATAACTGCCAATTAACACCCTGAGTCAGGCTTAGCTTCCTGACACACGACGACGTGCCGTGCTTGTCAATGTCATTCTTGCTCAGGGATGGGACATCCCACCGGATCGGCTCTAACCGGAACCTCCGTCCCGCCCATGCGTGCCCTTTCTTTCATCCCGACGGATATCATGAAGGTTGGTTGGTGGAATGTTGGTGACCTTAAAAAATAGCTCAGTATGTCACTATCAAGTGGGTCGCAACATATTTATTACTCATTATGTTTATCCATATACAGGTTCAGTGTCCACTGGCAGTACTCAGTTCCCGCCGGTTCTTACACATCTCACGTATGTATGACGTTGGCACACTTTGGCATATTCTGACAGATGTTCGTGGTTATATTAATCTATCCCCACCATGTACTATTAGGATGGATAGTTATAGTCCTCGACGCGACAAGGTCCTTTGGGATATATATAACAAAGTCCAGAAATTAGGCTCGCCCCGGTCTCCAGGGACGACCTCCAACAACAATAATACCTGTATACCTGCGCCTCACCACATCATCTCCGAGGATTCAATGACATATGGTCCCGCCGCCACTCGCATCACCACAAGATCAGAGCGCCACCAACAATGACCGCCGTGAAACAATGTAGCATCTTCATTTCAGTCGCAAGTGCTCCAGAAGTTGATGTTGAAGATCGGCTTGCAGAGGTCGTACTAGTAGATGAAACATTCACCGACCCAACGGATGACGTTTGGGTTGATGATGTATGCGAGGTTATAGATATCGGGGCAGTACTAGTAGTGGCACTGACAGTCGTGGTTTTGGACTGGCCTGCGTGTGACAGTCAACACTCAATCACTGTATGACTGCTAAGCGCTAAGTACCTGGGAATGCGGAACTGGCCGAGGCAGCTGCGCATTGATTGCGTATGAGAAACGTTTTTCCTTCAATCCATGCAAAAGACCCACCGTCACACAAGATGCTGTAATACTGCCAAGCAGTGCCTTGGGTTGTCGTATTGCAGCTCGTATCGAAGCATGACTGAATGGCTGATTGAAAGGGCTGAGAGCCACAGACGCATGTGGCATTCGAGCTATGTAACGATTTTTAGACCAACTTTTGAAAATTGTTGAAACACTCACAACGAATAACAGCCAGCCGCTGTCGCAGCCGTCCCCGCACAGACTTGTGCACATTGAGGAAGGGTATAGTTCTGTGCGGCACAGAAACCGAAGGCTAGAAAAAAGACGAAAACGAGTGAATAGTGCATGCTCGGCAGCGAGGTCTAGCACAAAGAGATTTGGGCGCTAATTTCTAATAGCTCGGGTTTGAAGCGGGCAATCAATCGAACCATCAATCTCTGCGACCACGTCCCCCTTCGTATATGTACTCGCAGCGCCATATTTTCATATAATCAACGATCAACACTGCATGGCCTGAACCGCAAGGCAATTAGCATTTGGGGCGAAGTCGTGGCGCTGCGCAATGCGCAAGTAGAACTTGGAGCTCTGTCACAGTGACTATGTGAGCATCATCCCTTACCGCTTTTTAGCTCCCAGGCTAGCCAGACCATATAAAAGACAGTTGTTCCTTCTTGATTCCGCTTTGTGGGGGAAATCGTTCCTGCTCCGAGCATACACAAGCACACACCCACGATATTTACCGATCACCCAAGTTGAGTGGATGCTGCCAAAGGCTGGAAAACTAATTATGATGAATGTATTTGACTCCGAGTCGGAATGGTAGTATCACTCGGGTTACCTCGGGCCCTGAAGGGAAGAATAATGCCAAGCAATAGGTATGTATGTAATAATCAAAAATTGCTGTCTTGGCTAACACTTTGTGTCGACCGCGACTTCACCCGAAATTCTGAAACATCCAAGCAAAGCGTCTGCGACTCGAATAAAATGACAAAAGATATCAAAGTGGGGTTACCCCGCAGTTACGACATTTTACTGGCTGGATCACATAACGAGTGCTGTTCCAATAAGGGCGCCAGCAAGGGCAACGAGCCCGCCGAATGCACTGTTGAGAGCAAGCGAAGGTGCGAGACCCGTGGCAGCACCAGTTGAAGTTGATTTGGCGGACGAAGCAGCAGTCGTAGCGGAAGTCGAGGTCGATGTCGCGCTCGATGTCGCGCTCGAAGAGTTCGCCGTTACTAGTCTCATTAGCCCCAGTACACACTTCGAAAAGAATGACATACATGTTGCGCACTCAGATTGTTGAAGCGCTCCCGCCTCAGCGACTTCGGCAGCAGTGCAGTTAGCTTGCAGACATGCGCTGGCAGCTGTCTGGAATGAAGTGGATGTGCAAACACAAGAAAGGTCGGTGCTAACATCGAGGACGTGAGATTCAGAATGCTCGAGTGCTGTTTGAAACCTAGCCAACTTACTAGCTAGAGCAACCACCTGCAGCGGCGGCTTGGGTCGAACATGAAATGATGCACTCTGTAACTCCGCTTGGAGTTGCAGCCGCAGCAGGAGACGTTGTGGTCCCTGATTGCGCGTTGGCAGCCAGAGCTGCTGCTGCTAGGACGAAAAGTGACTTGAAAAGCATGATCGGCGTATAGTCGTGAGTTGGCGACAGGTAGGTTTCGCATTTAAAGTACAACCGTGGGAAGGATGTCGGAGCAAGCTGGGACTTGCTGGCATGCCCATTGATCGATCGGCCGGGTATGCACGCCCTGCAGGGAGTGCTTGGAGGTGCTTGGCACGGTGGCACCTGGCCAGCAGATAGGCCTAAGTTTTTCGACAGGGCCCTTGATGCCGAGGTACATGGGATTTTTGCATACTAGTTACGAAAATCATGACATGATATGACCTTGATATATTCATGCGGTGAAGAGTGCGTAAGCTTGAGCAAATGCATGGGGGTGAATATTTGAATCATCTTTCTCTTTGGCCGCGCCGGACCTTTTACAAAAACCACGTGGCACCACCCAAACTCAGTGATGGAAGAATTCCCGGACTCCGCCACATATCGAAAGACGCGAAATTGTGCAGCTGCCGCAGATAGGGGTTGTCGGATAGGCTGAGCCACTGACCTGCCGATCCAACACCGACACACCGATAGGCTTCCTAAATTCCTTAATTTTGAGACTCACTTAATTCTTATATTTGTCTGTACTGACAGTATCATACATTTCTTCTGTATATTTAGTTGCCACCTTGAAGTTATGCTGCAGGTGCCTCAAAGTGGAACGTGAAGTGTGCCAAAGGCACTCGTGGCAGCACCACGCGTAGGTCGATTTAATGAAACAGACAGCGCCACAACACCGCAAGTGGAAAGAAGGTGAAAATCACCGCCACGACCGGAATTGATGCATGATGGGATGTCGACCATCTTCGACCACGCGCTCGAAGCGCTGTGGAGCCCAGGATGGGTCGGGGCGGTGTTACAATCGATTCGTACACAGGACAGCTGATGCATCACAAGCGTCAGTATTTGAATCTTAGTATTAAGAATCCGGTCGAGGTTCTTGCGGTGTGTGCTTACATCTGTTATAACTTGTGTTTCATTTCCGTTCCAATGGTTGTTTCATTGACGCGAACGCAGGGAAATAATTTCGAGTTCCAGAACTTAGAAGACAAACCGGAAATACATATTACCGCCTGAGAATAGGTAAAGCAGCTTCAGCCAGCGGCGAGAATTCTTCAGTGTAACAACATGTTGTACTCACCTGCCGTTCTTCATCACAGTCGAATATGAAGTTTTAGCCAGCAGCGACATTAGCCAGCGCCGAAGTGGCGGAACAGTCCGTTGTTTTGCCTTGATGCGCATGCAGTAACAATATCGGCTAATCGGTGAAAACGAGCACAAATGACGTTCGTCTGGATAGAAACGATCCATCTAGAGTGGTGAGAGGGCTTATTGTGCTAGTACTCCAAGTAGTCCTAAGTGTTCCTGCCTTAAAGGTTTGCGCAACAGTATTTCCACAGGACCAAAAAAAATATGTGTACATTGATCGATCTTTAAATGGTACTCACAGCTAACATGCGATATTCTCCGATACTATAGGGATTGCAAGATGGCTATGAACATTAGTTAATAGTTAGTCACAGGCCAATAACATATGACGCCGTCAGGGTGAAGTTTCACCATAATTTCGCCTATGACATCTAGAGTTTCCTTATGGGTTCCGTCCGTGCGGAACGGATACGAGGCCTGAGGCCTATGGAAATTGGCATGTCTCACATGCTATACTGTATTTCCGTCAGTATCATAACTGGTTGAAGCCGTAATTTCATAAATATGGAGATCCCCGCTTTGAAATCTGAGTACATACCTCTCCAGAAATTTCTGTGACGTCAAAGTGGTCCATGTAGCTGGGCCTTAATCAAAAGTGAATATTCACAATAACTTGGCGGATGGCCCAGAGCACATTCGTGCCAGAGCCAGCTACCTTTACTCGATTTTCGAGCTGGTAAATTTATGGAGACGGTATGACGACTATAGACGTACAGGTGTGCAGTTGGATGAAAGTAGTATACAATCACGCCATGGGTGTACTCGGAATAAGCTGATAGGTCGAATAGCACGAAAGCTGGTAGGTACGAACGTCTGGGTGGGCAAAATTTTGATGGTTGACCAGATGCTGATAATCATGGTATGCAATATAGTAAAGTGTGTTGCATAAAGGATGGAGTGAACAGTGAACATGCGATTTTATTGTGGCTTGAGTACTAGTACGCCAGGCGTGCCTGTTCCAGGTCCCTAGGAACTATGGCCATTCATATTCACTCCCCGACGCTGCTTACTCATCAACCGTGAGTACACGCCCCGCTTGGGACTGGACAACTCTGTGAAGAATAATTTCAAGGCAGAACTGGTTTGTACGATTTGATTGAGAAGCGCAGCATAGTCACATATACGCGTTTAACGTATGCATGTACATAGAAGTTCATTATATAGGACTGCGGGGCTCGAACAACATGTCCGCTATCACCGTGGCCGAGACTCGGCGCTCGCTGACAGGCTGCGGACCTGGTCAGGAACATTTCCTTTTGGTTCTTCGAGTAATCCTCTTCGTGCAGAAAGCACGTTTAATCACTCATATATCCAATCCTGAGGCCTTATTAGCCCCATGGAGCCTCATGGAGCTTGCTCGGTCGGATATCTTGACGAAGCCTTACAGTTCTTCACGAAAATTTTGCTACCCAATGAGCGACTCCGCGAAGGGGAATTACATGCGGTCTAGAATCTAGACCTGGCTCTGTCTGGACCTGCCTGGATGCTCTCAATATAGGACCTTGATTCAGTCGCTCAAGCATCGCTAATACATTTTAGGTTGGTCGAGACTCCTGGTTGGTCAAAGGTATAGGACACTGCTAGATCTCGTGTGTGCAACCAGACACGTAACCCTCACCTCTTTCTCCAGATTTATCACATCGTCCCAATCAGACACGCTGTGAGCTTTCTCTCGGTTCTCTCCCCGTGTAATTCCCATTTCTAGATTTAGACTCGCTCTATCATAGAGTCAGTCTAAAATGAAATAGTATTGCAGCAAGCTTAAAAGGCCCTACATACCATAATACGCACGGCGTCTCAGCCTCGACCGGTCTGAATAAAGCTTAGGGTCACCCGAGATCGACTAAGCTATCTTAAAAGAGTATTCCTTGCACAGCACTGGATGTCCATTTCTCTTCCTCAAACTACGTTCATCCTTCGTAGTAAGGTCCTTTTGTGTTGATTGGTTCTTGGTTATCTTTCCTTCCTGCTGGCCTCAGGATGCGATCTACCTCGTATGCTCATCATTCGCCGTCTCGCTCGGGTGACCGACCGAGTGACGGCACCGACAGCCCGCGAACGCCTGGCGCTCATCCACCCATTGACAGTCTGCGTCCGCGCAGCATCTTGCGTAAACCAAACCCTCTACTTCCTCCTTACCCTGTAGATTACTCCCAGCAACTTCCTCGACCTTCACGACCTCTTCCCTTGATGCCTCGCATGGATATATATCCACCGTATCAAACCCCCAGTTCACTTTCCTCAACGTACAAGGACCCTCCGCATTCACCCGCCACCCCATACAGTCGTGGTCAAGTACCGTGGATGCCTCGTGGATACGAGTCGAGACACCAGCAATACAATCCTTCACATCAGGCCGATCACCAACAATCACCTCGCGATCATGGTGACTATCACAAACGTACTTCCCTGCCACCACATGCCTTCCAACAGCAGCAAATTAGTGCTCGTGATGGCTTCGCATCCATGCCAGACATCAGGCGCATACACAGACCGTCGTCCGCGGACATAGAAAGGGACAGGCAGGCTCGGGCATGCGGGCTTCAACTAGATTATACGTCACATCCAAATACTCTCCCTTCTTCGAATAGCCATCTACCACGAGGTAGCAGGCGCCTTGAGGAAGATCAGCCCCAGCGCGAGTCGAAGACGCTGGTAGACCGTGGCAAACCTTACCCACCCCGACCGAAGCCGCACATTCTGTATCCTAGGCTCGACAAGCTCGTTCGACGTGAGAAATATCGTGCAATGGATCACATTTCTTTTGACGAGGATGTATTGGAATTGTATGGCGAGGATGGAGATTTACGAGAGAAGCTCCGTGAAAAGCGCAAGCGCGGAACTGAGAAGAGAGATCCAAAATTTCGTCTGTCGTGTTTGCGTGCAGTTTTTCCATCACACTAACATTACGACAGGTGTTATAGGAGCGCCATTGCGCGAAGTATTGATCCATGCATCATCCACGATCACTATTGGCGAACACCAGCATGACATGCCGACCCTTGTCGTTGCCTGTGTAGAGGAGCTGACAAGAACGGGTGCCTTCTTTTCTTCCTTGAATCGATTCGTTATTTACCCCCATCAGGTATTTACCAACAGGGGTTGTTCCGCACATTGCCTAGCCGCGATCGGCACATACAATTGATTGACATCTACGATTCCAGCGCCGATTATGGGGCAAAATTCAGCATGCACGGCCAGACCATGCCAGATATTTGCGCCGTCTTATCCACATTCATCTCCGCCCTCCCTCATCCTCTCCTTGATCCTAAACTTTACGGTGGGTTTTGGCACTGGTGCGTAAAGCCCAGCGTGAAGCGCGAAGAGGTAAGGCGAAGCCAACAGGACGCGGAAGAAGAGGAGAAGCGCGCTAGAGGCGAGCTCCCACTCTTGCTTCCCATATCAGCCAAACAGCATCAGAGACAAGCTCAGGACGACCTTCACCTTGGTCACGACGGTGACATCGAACGCCATCAGATCATGGTCGCACAAATAATCCTCCGCTTCCTGCCTATAGGCCAACTCTCCCTACTGATTTATCTCTGCGGATTCTTTACCCAACTTCCCCTTTGTCCTGAGAACGGTATACAATTCGAGGATATCGCGCGGATCTTTGGGCACAAGATTTTTGGTGCGACGGCGAAGGTGTCTTCACAGAAGATGATGGTTTGGTTATTATCGAGGTGGCACAGTATCTCGGAAGACCTCCTTACTGACGCATGCGGGATGTCGCGACCGTCCACCCCTGTCCCCAATCAACAGGAGCTGCCTAATAGTGAAGATAAGGGTGGTAGTCCATCGGTGAAGACCCCTAGTTCGCGTCGCAGTCGTTCGTCGGATAGTGATCGTTCCTCGTACTCGTCTTCTCCCCACGATCAAGCGGAATCCAGTACCACTCGACACCGTAAGAAACGGAGCATAGAATCCACGCCAGAGTCAGGTGAGGAGGCACTGCCAAGGTCTCGCCGACCTCCAAGGCGGAATCGAGCAGGTCTGTCTATGTGATTTTCCAATCGCATGCTTGCTCCAACAAACATGTATAGGTCGCCAGGCTAGTGCGTTTGCCTCGCTTCGAAGGAAGGCTTCTGGGCAGGAACTTTCAGACGTGTTCTCAAAGGGTGAGCGTTTAGTGGATGGACGGAATGGTATCTTATTTATTCCCAGCGTTTGCGAATGCACGGGTCAGCCCTCAATCATCAGATTCAAAACTTCCTGAACGCATTTCACGGGATCGGCCAGAAAGCATACTTCTCGATACTCGAGTACGCCTCGCGCGCCTGCAAAGCGATCTCCAGCGCAACAATTTGGTCGTTGTCGACGCCATCAAGGAATCATTCAAGGCCAGTGACGAAGCGCGCTTACTTTCTGAGAAGATTGAGCAGCTGGAAAAGACGTTCGGGGAGAGAAAGTTGCACAGTCAAAGTACGCTTGCCAGCACAAAAGAACCGCTACAGGTTGGCATTTTGGAGGTAGAGTAACCATGCACATAAGAACACCCAAGACGTTACAGGGGTAGATCTGGGGTGGATATCACATAATATGATGGTAGTAGGCCTTAATACACGATTCTGGGGGCACTGCTAGTAATTGAACTGTAATATTGCGGATGAACGTGCACATATTTGACGCTTCGAAAGTTCTATCTGCGAGATAAGTAATACAAGTTGTTGACAGGTCATAGTGCGCAGTCTGCGCATGCTACTGGTACAGAGAACGTAGTAAAAGTGAATGTTGCGAAACGAATTCAAAGGGACAGCTCCAGCCACTAAACACGCGTTCAGTCACTTCCTGCTGCTGCCCTTGCGGCCTTCTGTTTCCTCTTTCTTTCTTTCCTCTTCGCACTCCCGTTCCTGCGCTTCCCGAAGTACGGGTTTATTATCTCCCGCAGCAACTCCTTCAGCAACCCGCCTTGATACGCATTCTCCTTCGGAAAGAATTTCTTCGGCTTCTGGAGAGTATATGCTGTCAACTCTCCCAGGGATGCAAACAGCTTTACAGGCTTCCCAGTCCTCGCTGAATCAACAAGGTCTACAAGATTGACATGTGTGTCCCAAACGCGCTATATAATCAACTCAGCCATTGTGACTCGCCTGCAATGATGATTATCCACAAACCAGGCGACACTCTTCGATCGAATCTGGAACAGGATCGATTCGCAGCACACGACACAAATTCTGCCAGTTAGAAATATCGTTTCCATCAATTCCAAAACGCGCATTGAACTCCTGAACGAGCGCGTCTTTGAACCCCTCTCGTACTTCACGCCTCTCCGGATCTTGGGGGCCACATCTTATGACCCTGACAAGGCGATCGAAGTTCTTGTTTGAGGACTGGTTGGCGTTGAAGGAAAAGGACGCGAACTGAGCGAAAAAGACGGCGAGGGGCGTGTCATCGACGGGGGGTGGAGTGCCAGCGCCAGTACTACTAGTGGGCGTGCGCCTTCCTCCCTATATTTTTCTATCAAAATAAAGTTAAAGGAATTGGCCGGAGCTTACCTCTGTACCAGAAGACATAGTAGATGGGAGGGCTTATAGAACGCAAAAGACGGGAGAAACCCCTGTGCCGTGCCACATCGCGAACAGACTCTTATGTAAGGAATATCGAAGCGTCCGCATCACCTCGTGGCTTACGTGTTTGCCCATTGCCCACGAAGAACCCTGCGAAGAGGATCGTCGTCAGCTAGATATGGCAACTGACCCACAAGTGATCAAGTGATGAAGATACCCCAGAATTCAATAGCTATAGAAAAATAACACCATGTGAATCGGCTCTTGTTGAGTACGAGTCACGGTCAAACTGTGGGCCCGCAGAACACCTATTTTCCGGTACACAATAAGCGTTCTTCGCCCAGAAGCCGGATCTATTATGAACCAACAAACAACGGCCTGCTTCGTTTTGTAATTGGATGTCCATGCCATCGCTTGCATGTGTGATTCTCCATCGCGAAAGTCATTAAGCTAGTATAAGTAGTATTGCGCACTGCACGGATAATGCAACGTACCACGACTTGTATTGAGGGCAACAGTACGAAAACTTAAACGTGAACCGTTATCTTCAGCGTTGGCAAGCTCCCACGGACGGCATACCGACTCGGAAAGACGCCTCCCGCGCTCACACATCACGGCTATGCACGAATTCATTTACAATTACAGGCACGCCAGAACGGTATCAGTGTCCGAATCTGTAAAAAACCTCGTGTTATGAGAGTGGCCGTAACTTGAGGATACACCTTCTCTGCTGCGACTGCACGGATGCCATGAGGTGGCCAGAATCATGTACATATAATCCTAATCAAGAAGTGACCAGGGAAAGACCCCTTGTTTCAAGGCACACGCTCAAGGATATCGATGGTCCACTGTGGGGCCAATGTGATTAGCTTCATAAATAAATAAATAAAACATTGAAACGTCACGAGAAACACACTGCCGAGTCTCGTCGTTCTTGTGACTCCGAAGTAGATGAATTGTGTGAGTCTAGGTGATGATGCATGACAACGAGTTATATCCGGGATATGTACAAGTAAGGAATGACGACCCTCCGCAGCCCAAAGTACTTATGCGCTTGCCGATCCGCCCGCGTCGGCCTACGGAGACTAACGCGAGGCTACCAGATTCACTCACCACAGGTACGATTCCTTTCCATTTCACGCTTAGAGATCAAAACTGTGAGAATCAGGTTTCTGGACATACAAGTGATGTTAGTATAGTTTAATACTTTGTAGCTTCTGGTACGGCATTCCACACAAAACGCGAGCCTCATTGGTAGATGTTTAACGAGTTAAACTCAAAATAAGCGTTCTCGAATGCTGATGGGTTGTCGTCTACGTAGTCTGACAATATGGGATGAGGTTTTCGAGATGCTCACTAGAAGAGTGGATACTACTCACCGACACATGTAGATGGACATCCAGACGCAGCGTAAACTGAACTGCTGCCTGCCCAGTCACCGCCTGGTAAGCCACGTCTATCAGCGTAAGTGAAAGTTCAAGGACGATCATCACACACAAAATGTAAGGTTGATGATGATGTTGTGCTCTCCAAAATGAGTGGAGAAATCGCAATCAGTATCGGGAAAGTATGCGGCTGGTGTCCCCTTTGAAATTGTGTTCGATCAGGGATTCAAAGTCTGTGGAAATAGCATACCCAATTGCTAGTATTGATGCTTGACCCAGGAGAGTTGATGTCGCTTGGAACAGAGTCACTCAGTCCTCTCCCAAAAGAAAATCTTGATGTAACTTGAGCTCCTTTCTATCGCATACCTGGCCATGGATCTCTGTTATTCTGGCAGAACTAATGACCAACATGGAGTGCATACCAGCCACCACCGTTGCTGTTAAACTGCGGACCATAGCTCTTGTCGTCGTTAATACTGACTCCACACCCAGAATTGCCGTTATCAGTATGCGTCGCAGTCGGTACCATCAGAGGTGCTAAATTCAATTGCATCAGGTTCCACCGAATACCTGGAGACTCGATGAACGATCTGACCCTGTCATTGGGCGAGAAGAGGGCATTGTGCAATCTGAAACCCAATTTTAGTACCCATAGTTTTCGCTCCTCGAACGTGATCTTACTAGAGCCCGTGTGTAGACTGCATGTGTTGGGAGTTTGATCATTGACACCTTCTACAATGTCCACTTCGCCCTGTGACCCTGAGTTATAACAGAAACAAACATCAATCTGGACATACTTCATTCGGCCAGTTTGCCCCCACTTCCTGTGGTGAATGTTAATGAAAGAAATTATCCTGTGAATGGGACGAACCCTGTTAAATCAATAGCACCGTGGTGCACTCGTCAGATGTCAAGACACTGAGACGACGAGCCATACTAACCCTGATCCGTAGTCAAGCTTCAAGTCAACCGACCACAAAAGATTGAACGCACAAATAGCCGGCCATGTTCCACAACCTTGTGGCATATGCGCAATATCGAAACTGAATAAGATTAGTAGAATTCTTCGCACTCATGCAACAAGTCCGCGTAGACGTACATTGCTACATGAGTTTCATATTGGATATTTGACTCGATTCGAAAAGAATTTCTTCCCGGATCGGAGGAGGACAATGTCGTAGTATAGTCCGCTCGGAGCAGTGAGTTTATTATTATCCACTGAAACAAGCCCATCTGCTTCGGCAGTACTCTCATTGACATAGGTCCTAGGATGATGGTATGAATCAGCCCTCAGATACTACGATTCAGGGGATGTCTTACACTCTGCCGTTGGTGGGGTCCGGGATGGCTTGGAAACTGAATGCGTCAAGGAAGCTCTGGCCTGCGAGCTGGCTCGACCTTTGGTACGTCGCACCCAATGTCATTGTTACAGCGGGGGCCAAGATGACGAAAGAATGAAAGTCAATACGCATGATGACTATAGAATACATGAAGAATCTTCAACTGGTGACCGAACGATTTCTGGGCCAGGTTTTAACTGCCTTTATAGCAATGAAGGCCCATAGCCGATCTGATGACGTCTCCCAGTGCTCTTACCTGTAAATAATGAAACTTGACAGTGCGCGGTCAACATAACGACGATATGGAATGGTCAGAGGTATGTGCTCCATAGCAACGCCACTCAGCCAGGATGTAGCTGGTGCTTTTCTGGATCGATATACCCCTGACACTCAACATGGATCATTATCGCCAGCCCGGGCGATGAATAAAGGATAGGCTGAAGTCAAAGTTGACAAGCCTCAGACCCGAGCAGCTTCGTAAGGTTGGAGCGCCAGTATAACAGGATGAGTGCCTTCGATTTGTGTAATTCCTGTCCTCTTAAAATAAATCAGCTCGGACGATCGCACCACCATTGAGCATAAGAGCCTCATCGGAAAGATAACTTACACCGTTGCACGTTAACCCCAAGTCGCTTTGTGAGTTCCTGCAAAAATCCAATAAGATAGGAACGGAGCATACAAATCTGTGTTAGTACCACTGAAGTCACGCTAGTGGCCGATACCGACGAATGCGGTGATGGGTATAACATACCTTAAGCTTCGAGAATGCACATGGACTGATCCGGATCCCGGTCTTGCCTCGTGCTCTCCTTCTGACTACAGGTGACTGAGGAATAGTACTGCCAGTTCTACAGAAGAACAATTTGAAAGGAGCACACTTTAGAAATGCACATCATGGTTTGTCGTTCTACTTTTGTCACGTTTGACAGTATCATCAAAATTCCCCGAAGCAGTCTAAAGGTATTCCTCTATCTTGATCAAGTGACCGTATGTGGTATTGCATGTGAATTTTCAGTTCAATGATCATTGAGTGGGTTGGAAGCAAGGGAGAAGATATACTGCGTCTAGGAATGTTTATGCTACATACAAAAGTTTGTATTGCACTGGCATAAGCGTAAAGTTCGTGTGAGTTTTGTTGTCTCAACTTGAGCATCATGTGATCCAATTGATTTCGTTCCAGCGCAAACGAGAGACTTACAGTCCTTATTCGTAGGCACCCTGATCAAGATACCATGATAAAACTCCCAACAAAATTTTGATTACATGTTCCTACGTGTTAATAACCATTTGGAGTGTAAGTATTTTATACGTCACTGTCAGATGACACTACGCTCCTGGAACGCAATCGTAGCCATGCTAGTTCCTTCCTCGGAGTTGGTCATCAGATTTTGGAACATGGTCCCACCACAAACATCTGCACGAGTGTGACAAGTTGATGAACATCACAATAAATCTGAGCTCCCACGGAAGATGAATCACATAGATCAGCGTGCCAAGACCTTTGGAGACAGGAAGCCAAGGTTTAAGCAAGGAACAAGGGAACACAAACATACAGCATGTTGTTGCTGATTGTGAAAGATGGTTAAGTTATCAACCGAGTTCAGCTCAATGCCAACTTGCTAGCCATGTAAACATACACAGAGTATATTATTCCAATGTAGCGCACTTAGAATGTTGTCAGGACAGATTGTCAAGTGCGCCTATAACATAAGCTACGTACGCTGATGTATAGAGCATTCATCAGCGACCTGCTTTGCCTCTGCCCGAATTAACTGACGCCGTGTTTTCTGATACGAAACTGCTTACCCAGACCAATTCAAACCAACAAAAACCATTTTAGTGAAAAGTTGCTGCGGTATTGGGATCAACCCACCTCTTGGCCGAATATCAGTGCTGGAAGATATTACGGTGAAATCAACAGTTCACACTCGCCCCAGTCATATACCACGGCAGTGCATGATGCAACTACGAAATCACAGTCAAAGATAGAGCGAGACACATTGATACCATCCCATTTGCTCTCCACGAACCTACAAAATAGCTGGAAACGCAATCCATAAATATTGAATGACCATGAACTGGGGTCACTTGGGACCAGGCCTTACGTTGCCCTGGCTCGCGCTTGTTCTTACCACACTCGTCCCTATAGGTCAGGAGAAACGTTTGCGTGGGCCCATCAATAGTTACCAAAGTAGTCACGTCGACTGTGGCTTCAATAGTCCAAGTTCGGCCGTCGGTCAGTACCAGTTCATGATTGCAGGACTCCGATTACAGATTTCCCTGTTGCCGTAGTTCACCCGGTTCGCCACCTTTAACCGCTGACCGAGGGGCGCGGCATCATGCTCCGAATCTGGCCAACAACCACAGCAAAGTGGATTCGAAGAATCGGAAGATCGGGGTTGGCAGCCAGAATAGGGTGAGGGATGTCGTCCGGGTCTCTCTCGTAAATGGTTTGAAATCCAATATCCGGTGGTCACTGGTGTGGAGCAAGTTGGGTCGGAGGAACACACCATGTTTGGGTGTGTTTATACTGCTTTACTCACGAAAGTTGGCTGTCACAACATTTACTCAATTTATCATGATCATTTCGGACTGCAGGTGACACTACGAAACATTATCTGCTCTCTATGTCCTGTACTTTCGAGCGAATGGCGCGAATAACTCCTAGCACAAAGTCGTAACAAGATCTGCGGGACCGTTGCGAATGCCGAACAGTGCTTGACTTGTTACTCATTAATCGAATCATGACTTGCAATCCCGTTATATCAGTCTGGCCGAAGTTTGAGTGTGTGACGTGTGTACTGTGCGCACGTAAGTTATTCTCTTCTATATCCCTTGATGCGGTACACCTATCTCCCACATTTACGTCTAGAAGCTGACTTTGCACATGTGTCATGAAGTGTTTGAATTGTGGGTCCATCATGGTATGTGACGTCCCAATTGATCTACTGGTGAGGCGCAAAGAGTATCCTTTCTCGTGATCCGGGAAATAACATGAGGCATTCAAGCGCTCCGTAATATAAAGCCCCCCACTTGACTGTATTCTGGACGAGTACGACGTGTGGTACTTGTTACTACGAAATGTCACCGTCCCCCAGGGTGTGCTACAGTTATTCACAGACCGCTAGCTGTCGATTCGGCTCCAAGTGCAGGTTTGCGCATGACGAAGGGTCAGAAGTCACCAATGATGTAGGTCAATATAGCCGCCTTCAATCTTTCAGACAGGCTAAGACATCGTGCGTCTAGAGAAAGAGGCGCAGAATTACGCATGAGCGCTCCCAAACAGAGACACAGGCACCTCTAGACGATTTTTTTTGCAAAATATCCCAACTTCGAATATGACTCGTCTGCGTCAGCTTCATTGGAGTTTTACCGGATGTGCGATGAGTTTGGCTGGGATAAGGAAGACAAAGAGAGAGAACAAGCTTCCCGTGATTTCAAGGACGCCCTTGTTCAGCAGTTCAACGACATATACGGCACGGATGTGAACGATCTCACTTCATGGCGCACTTTGTGTCAGATCGTCCACGTTTCACCGATTCCTGATACTCTTGAATCATGCCGCGAGGTAGAAGCTTGACTTGTCCCCGCCTGCGTTGTACTGACAAGTGTGGTCACATTTTAGGCGGTCAAAGCCACTCATGTCAATATTGTTGACTTGGTCGATACAGAAACGACTGGGGAGCCGGTGACAGTATTTGTTTCGGAGGTGGACCTGAGCAAGTATACCATATCGATGGGAAAGTTCTTTCCAAGAGACAATGCATATGCTGGTGGTCTCTTAAGGTACCTGCTCCGCCGTATCATAAACCCCAGACAAGAACGCGTGCTTGGGTCTAGTCCGGAAGACGCAGAGCAGGCGTAGGCGTCACTAGAGACTACTTCCCGATTCTTATGCTATCCTTGCACATGTAGGTGCCGTTGTAAAGCTTCTAGTCGAGTTCGTTTTGTGGTGCATGAGCACATTCAAGTTACCGTGATGTCAACGACATTAGAGGTTTCATGTATGAGTTATACTCGTACGGCTCGTATGCGGTTACAGGAAGGTTTCTAGTAGCTGAATATTGCGGGACGATGCCGAGGTTGCACTAGGCAATGGTTGGCTTCAGAAACACACGACCAGTCACGGTCACTTCCTGCCAGCTGCAGCAGTCGCTCTATTTTTTTTCTTCCCTCTTCACACACTCATTCGGATTCATTCCTGTGTTGGCTGAAACACGGTTAAGCAATTCCAGCAAGGTCTCCCAGGTCGACACGGGTATCGTAGACACGCTGCACAAGTCGCTCAATTGCACAATAGCCGTTTAAGTCTTGATGATGATCGTACACAGGCATAGCGAAACTCCAGTGTCCTATCTCAGGGAACAGGAACAATTCGCAGCCCACAACACATTCTGCCAGGCTTGGTAGTGAGATCGTTCCTAGAGTCAGCTTAGAAACATGTCACGGTCGACCAGAGGTTGATTGCGCAGGTGCTTTGTACGACGGCCAGAGAATCTTGCATCGAGATATATCACAGCTTACCTCTGCACCAGAGAATGAAGAAGTGCGTGGTATTCAAAACTAGCAGCTAAGTACCCGCCAATAAAGTGGTTTATTGAGAGCGGGCTCCTACATATTATAGACGACAGAGCAGCTTCGAAGAAACTCTCAAAGTGGCGGCGCCCGATGCCCCTCGTAAATGGTTTGAAATCCAATATCCGGTGGTCACTGGTGTGGGGTCGGACTCGGAGGAGCATACCATGTTTGGGTGTGTTTATACTGCTTTACTCACAAAAGTTGGCTGTTGCACATATACTCAATTTATCATGATCATTGACTGGTGACACTACGAAACATTATCTGCTCTCTGTGTCCTGTACTTTCGAGCGAATGGCGCGAATAACTCCTAGCACAAAGTCGCAACAAGATGTGCGGGACCGCTGCGAATGCCGAACAGTGCTGACTTGTTACTCATTAATCGAATCATGACTTGGTGCAATCCCGTTATGGCATATCAGTCTGGCCGAAGTTTGAGTGTGTAACGTGTGTACTGTGCTGCATGTAAGTTATTCTCTTCTATATCTCTCGATGCGGTACACCTATCTCCCACATGTACGTCTAGAAGCTGGCTTTGCACATGTGTCATGAAGCGTTTGAATTGTGGGTCCATCATGATATGTGATGTCCCAAGTGATCTACTGGTGAGGCGCAAAGAGTATCCATTCTCGTGATCCGGGAAATAACATGAGGCATTCAAGCCGTAATATAAAGCCCCCCACTTGACCATATTCTGGACGAGTAAGACGTGTGGTACTTGTTACTGCGAGATGTCATTGTTCCCTAGGGTGTGCTACAGTTATTCACAGACCGTTAGCTGTCGATTTGGTTCCAAGTGCAGGTTTACGCATGGCGAAGGGTTGGAAGTCACCAATGATGTAGGTCAATATAGCTGCCTTCAATCTCACAGACGGGCTAAGACATCGTGCATCTAGAGAAAGAGGCGCAGAACCACGCATGAGCGCTCCCAAACACAGACACAGACACCTCTAGACAATTTTTTTGCAAAATATCCCGAATTCAAATACAACTCGTCTGTGTCAGCTTCATTGGAGTTTTACCGGATGTGCGACAAGTTTGGCTGGGATAAGGAAAACGAAGACGAAGACGAAAACAAAAAGAGAAAAAAAGCTTCCCGTGGTTTCAAGAACGCCCTTGTTCAGCAGTTCAACGACATATACGGCACGGACGTGAAGAATCTCGTTTCATGGCGTACTTTGTGTCAGATCGTCCACGTTTCACCAATTCCTGATACTCTCGAATCATGCCGCGAGGTAGAAACTCGCCTTGTCCCCGTCTGTGTTGTACTGACAAGTGTGGTCACATTTTAGGCGGTCAAAGCCACTCATGTCAATATTGTTGACTTGGTCGATACAGAAACGACTGGGGAGCCAGTGACGGTATTTAGTTCGGAGGTGGACCTGAGCAAGTATACCAAATTGATGGGAAAGTTCTTTCCAAGAGACAATGCATATGCTGGTGGTCTCTTGAGGTACCTGCTCCGCCATATCTTAAACCCCAGACAAGAACGTGTGCTTGGGTCTAGCCGGAAGACGCAGAGCAGGCGTAGGTTTCACTAGAGACCACTTCTCGATTCTTATGCTATTCTTGCACATGTAGGTGTCGTTGTAAAGCTTCTAGTTGAGTTTGTTTTGTGATGCATGAGCACATTCAAGTTACTGGATGGGTTAGCGATGTCAACGACTTTAGAGGTTTCATTGTGAGTTATAGCCGTACAGCCCGTATGCGGTTACAGGTTCCTAGTAGCTGAATATTGCTGGACGATGCCGAGTTGACCAGTCATATGTGGTCACCTCCTGCTAGGTGCAGCAGTGGCTCTATATTTTTTCTTCTTTCCCTCTTCACACACGCATTCGGAGTCATTCCTGCATTGGCTGAAATACGGTTAAGCAATTCTCCCAGGTCGACATGGGTATCGTAGACACGCTGCACAAGTGGCCCAATTACACAACAACCGTGAAAGTCTTGATGATCATCGTACACAGGCATAGCGAAACTCCAGTGTCCTATCTGGAACAGGAACAATTCGCAGCCCACAACGCATTCTGCCATTGGTAGTGAGATTGTTCCTATCAGCTTAGAAACATGTTACAGTCGACCGGAGGTTGATTGCGCAGGTGCTTTGTATGACAGCCAGAGAATCTTGCATCAAGATATATCACAGCTTACCTCTGCACCAGAGAATGGAGAACTGCATGGGATTCAAAACAGGCAGCTAAGTACCCGCCAATAAAGTGGTTTATTGAGAGCAGGCTCCTACATTTTATAGACGACAGAGTAGCTTCGAAGAAACTCCCAGTGTGGCGGCGCCCGATGCTTATGATCAATTCACCCGTTCATCACACAAAGCCAGGCCGCCGGTGACGACATTACCACCATTTCTGAGTTCACGGACAATTAATGTCGGCTTCCGTCCATCATGATCGTCCCGGTCGAGCGGCGAAATACCGCATCACGTTGATATAGCAGTGTTTTAAGCACATGAAATCCCACAGTCTACCGGACTAATTCAAACTCTTTATCAACGATCTAGGCATTTACCTGTAGACAAGACCACGATGGCACCGCTGACGATCCTTGTCGCTTCGTACACTGACTCGATCTACACACTATCCTTTGATCCAACACCATTGACAGGATCTCCGACACTTAAACTCCTCGCTCGAACACCCGTTGGGCACCATCCGTCGTGGATCGCATCTCATCCGTCCGATAAATCCCTCATATATACAGGGCTCGAACAGGCAGATGGAGAGGTCGTCGCGATCAAGTACGGAAGGGGTGGAACCGTCGAGGGAGGAGACGTGGTGGCCAGGGCCAAGAGTGGTGGTGCAGACCCTTGCACCCTTCTTGTCACGGAGGACGAGCTTATCATTGGAAATGTAAGTCCCCACAACGTCGATTCCACCTGTTCTGAGTGATGAATATTTTCCCTTTCTTGTACTCGCGTCTGCACCCAGTACTCCTCTGGCACAATCGCGACCCTTCCGGTATCAACATCTGTCCCTTACATACTTTCACCAAACCCATGGACGCTTTCGATGCCCTTTGAGCATGTAGGTCGAAACAAAGCTCGTCAATCTTCATCCCACCCCCACCAAATCATCTTCAATCCACTGGACCAAACGGAGAAAGAGCTCCTGGTCCCGGATTTGGGTGCAGATAAGGTCTGGAGACTCACCAAACAAAGCGATGGCAAGTGGACAATTTCCGGTCATATCGACTTTGAAGCAGGGGGTGGCCCACGACATGTCGCAGCTCGAGGTGTGTCATTCACTTCGACTCCTGAAATCTTATTAATTGTTACAACAGGAACTACCCTTTACACGCTGCTGGAGCTCACCTCAAAGCTTGCTGTACACACATTCACTCCGCTTCCGGCGCTCCCAATTCCTCTTACATCTCTGTTCACGCTTTCTGCGTCACCGATACCGGACACCATGATCGCAGCGGAAATTCTGCTACCCGAACCCAACGCATCTTTCCCTGAAACATTCATCTACACGTCGAACAGAAATGACCCTCATCCAGAGGGTGACACTATTGCAATATTCTCTCTCGCCTCTGGAGAGGGTCAGCCAGAGCTTGTGAATGAAGTGCGTACGGGGCTAAACCATGTCCGGGGGATGGCGTTTGGAGGCGACGAAGACAAGTATCTAGTTGTGGGTGGTGTAGAAGGTGGTGGAGTGAAGGTATTTGAGAGGATTGATGGTGGTAAGGGACTCGAAGAAATTGCGAAGCTCGGTGCAGACGTTGTAGGATGTCCCACTGGCTTCTTGTGGTATTGAGAAATATCGTGAAGTCACCGGAAGACATAAGTTTGCTCGCCAGCTGGGGTGTGAGGTGATATTTATGGTGTCTGCCACATCAGGTCCCGGGTGTCAATGCTTGTTATGTAGCGTCCGATAGAACGGGCTTTTAGTATATTGCTCGTGAAGGAAAACCGATATGATAGTGATTTATAACAGTTATGACTCATGATTACAACAGAAATAGATGATTGGAACACTGCTGCAGGTGTTCTCACTGCGGTGTTCTCTATTCCAGATTCGACGATGATCCGCGGTGGTTTCATTGTTCCATGCCTGCCTCTGCCATTTATGAACTGACGAGTGTCGCCCAAGAATCTATTGAATCAATTGTGCTGCTCAATCCAATTACGTGTATCTGTCATTCGTTTACAAGGTAAGTTCACAGAGCACTGAACTTGTTCAGGCAAGGGCAAAGAAGATGTCGCTGAAAAATGACACACCAGCAGGCAGCGCAAGCTACGGCATGCGCAGTGGTCAGCCAGGTAATGTCGTTGAATTTTGACCACAGACTTCGTGTGCATATGCTATATAACCCTGACCACCGTGATCCTGGGCTGGGAAGCCTTCACGACATGAAAGCAGAGTGTCTGGACGTGCGTGATGGGCAATGCACAGTAATCCATCCACGGGACTACTACTGGACAAAATTACGCCACGAGGACAGGGACGACGATTACGACCACCCTTGGCAGCACTATGCTCGTGTTCCCGCGGTCTGTTAGACCCGCTTTCTATGTGATGGGAAAGCAGTCTGTGAGACCACCCTCTCCAGAGGGTCTCCCACTCTATTCCGCCAGAGGTTTCAGAGTATCCTCCAGGACCTCGCAATGAAGACCTCCATACTGGTTGGAGGGCTGTCTTACATTGCAATGGAGGGTCATGTGTGAAGTTCGGGAGGTTCGGGAGGCCTCTAGCTTTCGTCGAGGGTCTCTGACAGTCTCTGACATTCCTTATGTTATTTGATCCTTTGGTGCCTACTATGTTATTTTTATTCAAGTCATATGTTATTTCAATTATCTCGTACTTTCTTCATGTTTTAATCTACTTGTTGTGATGTTCTGATTAACGGAAACATCAGATCCGGGCAAGCATATTAATGATCTCGGAGGCAACAGCAGGCTTGGAGGAGCCGCTATACTGATATTGACAAAAACGAGTTACAAAGATATCAATGTAGGTGGGGTAGGGTATAACACGCGGGTACGAGACAGGGCCAATGAGACTAAACAGACGACGAATGCAGGCACGAGCGACACATGATGCGAAAAGAGCAGATCAACTAAAAACGTCCAAAAACACTTGAGCAGCGAATGTAGGCATGAGCGGCACATGAGGTGAAAAGAGAAAATCAACGACAAACATCACAAAACGCTTGAGGAGCAAGGAGGACATTAAGTAGCGGGAGGAGGCCTTGGGGGATTGGGCAGATCGCGACGGAATGCTCGTGGTATAGCATCATAGTCCAAATGAGCACCTTCATCCCATCTCGAATCCTGAAATCTCCTACCGGGGCCTTGAGGGTATCCTTCCTCGCGGTAACTCCCTCCACCAACTCGACGACTATGATAGGGAGATAGTGATTGCCCACGCTCATCGAGGTCATTGTGCCGGGACCTGTATCCACCTTCATGAGTATAGCCTAAGTCACCCCCAGGACCGTACCGGGTCGGGTAGGCACGTTCGCGCTCACTAGGACCATAGTTACCATGAAATCGGACACAGGTGAGCTGTCTCGAGTATTCAAGTCACTTTCCATACGAATATCGCCAGATCCATAAGGATCTTGAGGTGGACCATAGCGGGGATTGCGATGGTAGAATGCGTCACGGGGGTGAAGAGTGCCACGGTCGAGGCCACGCGCAGGTTCATGGGAGTACCCTCGGGTGTAAGGATAACGAGGATCAACATCCCAAGGATTGCGAAGGCCATCACGAGGGTCACGTACGGCCTCATGATGGTTGCGTGTAGGGTCGCGAACAGCACTTCGAGCATCTTCATGAGGTTCACGACCATCTCTAGGGTGACGGGGAGGCTCACGACCATCTCGAGGGTCACGGAGAGGCTCATGATCATCTCGAGGGTCACGGACAAGGTCGCGTGGAGGGTCGTGATCATCTCGAGGGTCACGGACAAGGTCGCGTGGAGCGCGTGGAGGGTCATGATCATCTCGAGGGTCACGGACAAGGTCGCGTGGGGGGTCATGGAGAGCGTTTGCGCAGTGGGCTGTCACGAGGGGCATCATGGGGAGGTTATCATGTGGACGCTCGTCCTGAGTCTTGTGAGGAGTGAGGGGGACGAGGGTGGTTGGAGTCACGAAGAGGCTGCTGGTCGGGAATATTGGGGGCCGCTGCATTCAATGGGGCGGTTGGGGGTAGTTCTTCCTTATCTCCTACTACTTCATCCTTCGTCTGTGCAGACTTCTCCTCCAAAGGATCAGACTGGATGTTAGCTGAACCAGTGGCTTCGGGGATGACGCCCGTTGTGGTTTGCAGAATTAGCCTTCACGCTGTTGTCGACGTCAGACTCAGAGTCCGAGTTCCCGTACACCATACGCAGGCCACGATTCATCACCACCCGAGAGCCCTTGGTGACTGGGCGTGGTTTAACATGTTCTAGAGCATGTAAATTAAATCACTTGAATCAATGAAGTTAAGAATGAAATGTACCCTTTTTAGACTCATCAGAAGGTCCGTCTCGAAGGCGCATTGCTTTACCAGCATTAACTATCAAGCTTTCAGCAAACAGTAAGGCGGATGCACATGGTACTCACTATGTTCTGGTGATGGGGTCCATCGGTCGACGATCCCACTGTTAATGGGGATAGTGGACCGCCTTTCGCAGGGAAAGTAGTTGAGGTTGGCAAGGGAGGCGGAGGTGCCTTGGATTGCACATTATTCTTACCTCGCCCAACTTTCTTCCCCACTTTTGAAGCGTTAGTCTTTTCAATCGACGGGGCAATCTTCTTTGACGCACGCGATGTATTCGCGGACTTGAGCTTCCTCTTCTTTCCACGTCCTGCTTCTTCATACTCAGAGTCGGGCTCTCCCACAGGGATTCTCTTCGGTAGACGTAACTTCGATAACCTCACCTCGGAGTTCCGATGGCATGGGAACGGCTTTGGAAGGACGCGGGCAGTGGTAAAGGAAGTCGAACAACCTTGAAAGGGCGTGAGGGTGGAGGTACAACTCGACTCGCATTTTTGTAGTTAGGCTTTCGCACGTTCACTTGAGGTAGGGGCTCGAGCGCAGAAGTTCCAACTGCATCATTGACACTTACACCCTCCAATGATTCATCATCAGAGGGTTCATCTTCGGAGGGTGGTATAGGGGTGCTTGGGTGCTTTAACACCCTTCTGACCTTCGTAGTTGCTGTGCTGGGCTTGAGGCGACGAAGACCATTGTGATCAGTATGGCCGTCAAGGAACAACCGTCGCAGCGCCATGATGGGGCCATTCAGAAGGAGGTGCCTCGCCCTCGATTATGGGCTTTCTCTGAAGCTATTGCAGCCGCTATATATCGTGTAAGTATGACATTGTTACCCATAATATGATACGTACTCGATCGTCGTCGGGAAATTTGATGATGCTGCATAGTGCCTGCCTTCAACGAATCGACAAGCGCAGCGATCTCCTTATACATCAGCGCCCCAATGCCTTTGTTTAATGCATGTTTACTGTGAGCTTCACCGGGAAATAGGCACTTGTGTGCAGGATATCCTTGGATGCTGAGATTGGCTTCCACGAGTGCGGCTGGCATGAGCTTCCAGGGAAAATCTTTCCGCCGTGTATTTTGCAGCCAAATTGGCTGGTGCGATGCAGGATATATCAGTCTAAATGAAGATGAGTGGCAATGGTCGCACATTACCAGCTGCCTGGTGATTTTCCTGCTCACGAATTTCAAGTATCCTCCCGTCCCTCCCTCCACAACATCAGAAGCTGGTCTATGTCGTGGGTAACGGTCGGTGTCTGTTTTTGATGGCTATCGTCCCCGGTTTTCTGGAAAGGCATCATCAACTGCAGATAGCGATGTGGTGTTACTGGTTAGGGCTATGTAAGCATCAGTAGCATGAACATAAATGTACTACTACACGTGGGCCTTTAAATAATGACCGATGATCATGTCATCGCTGGCACGGCATCGCATTTCCCAGAATACGAGTTATGAGTACATGTTGACGTTGAAGGTGAAAAATGAGCTTACCCCACCAGCACCAGGTGTGTTGTAAGAATGACCAAGCGAACCGTCTTCATTAACCACTTTTACCACATAATACAACGGCTGCTTCAAATCCAATCTAGCGGAGCGGACTCGAGCTATAACATATGTTAGACAATGTTGTCACTTCGGCAGAGATACGCACGATGCTCGTCACACTCCGTAGTGTTTTTTGGAATGCTTGTCCGCGCTGGGCAATAGTTTGGGGAGACGAGCTCAGGATAGCTACTTCCTCATGCTTAGATAGGATGTCTTGAAGGTGTCGGGAAAGGTTGTCCTTGAATTTCTCGTAGCATTTTCTTCGCAATGTTGCACCTATGGAAGAATATAAGCATGCAGCATCATGCCGTTAGTTTTCATATGAACTCTACTAGGTGTCCCACTGCCTTCTGATTTCTCTTTTTCACAGCGGCCGAGCTCCTCCTGCAAGTGGTCCTTGAAGTAATTGGCTTACAGATTCCAGTAATATTAGTGCCGTTCACACTGCGTCCTCGAGCCTTCAGGTATAAATTGATTAGTTGAGTCATGGGGAGGGCGGTGGACGCTGCAAGCTCAAGAAAGTGACGCTCAATGCCCACAAACCCAGTGTCGAGTGCTGCGTTCATATCTGCTGACCTGCGGCCAGTTACCGCTTGATCCTCTGGTGCATTCTCGGCTCACTCTCTTCAGGGAACCGAACGCGGTAGGTGGTGGCCGGAGAAGAATAGTGACCTAGGTCAACTTTGGACTAGGATCTCTTGTCGAGGCAAGGAGTGCATGATCAGTGGAAGCAGAGAGAGGCACCAGGAGTCTTACCGCCACCATCCTTGAGTGGTGTTGGCGTGGGGATGATGTTTGTGGCTGGACTCGGAATGGCTGAATGATCTGAGGCGGTACATATGGTGCAGGATGCAGGGTGAATGGTGAGTTCTGCATCAACTCCGAAGACGGTTGCCTGTGGATCCAGCGAACATCCGCGAGACATGAGAGGCTGACCAGATGAACTGGCGGGAAAATGAAAAGGCGTGTGTGAAGGCAGAGGTGCAAGGTGGGTTGTGTTCTGCGCATTGGTAGTTTTACGTCTTGCACGTTGGTCACAGACGGTGCAGGCCACAGCGACTTGTCGCCCGCTCCAGCCATGCCTAGAGCTTGATCTCCGAGTAATCCAGCCGTGAAAGTATCAGGCTGCATCATTCCGAAATCACCAGATGGGTTTTGCTGCATCCAAGGAGACTGCTGGTCCATAGGGCCGTAAAACAAATCCTGCAGTTGTGCAGGACCTTGTAGTGGAGGAAAGGGTGAGTTGTGCCGACTGTAAGCCACGTTCAGCGTAAGCGATGACGTATCGCTTGTTGAAGTTGAAGCACCGTCCTGCACCACGTGGTGGAATGGACCAACGGAAAGCTGAACGTCGTTAGAGGTATTTTGATAGGCCTGGCGTCGGGCAGAGGCGTCCTTGACAATACCGACGTCCCGCACTGTGGCCTTGAGTCTGGTCCTCAGCCGTGAGGGAGTCAACTCGGCAGGCGGTGCTTCATATCGACGACCTCCGCCAAACTGTTCCTCAACATAGTCGAAGGATGCAGGGGATGAGCCCATGTAGCTTGGACCAGGAGATGGCTGTTGGTCGACACCAGAAGGCATTTCTGGCTTTTGTTGCGTCATGTCTGCAGTTAAGATGTCAATGACAGAGCAATATTTGGTACGTGGGCATGCGTACCTATATACAACAGGCGATGGCGAGAATATATCGGAGTGAGAAGTTTGAAACCTGATCTCCAGCGCATCGTAAGTATAGACATCATACTGACACAAGAGGGTGTCGCTTACCAGATCGGGGGTATGTTCAACGAGGGTAACGTCGAGGTGGTCTGTCTGTTGAGCGGATCGCGTAAAATACTAAAATTGAGGGCAGCATGCGCATAGGCATCATTCCAAGTAGTAACACGAAAGAATGTTGCTTACCAGAACAGAGGGACGTTCAACGAGGGTAACGTTGAGGAGATCTGTTTTTGGGCGAATTGTACAAGATGCTAAATAAAATTGAGGGGAATACTGGAGGCGAAAGAAAACGTACCCCAAGGGCTCATACTTAAGACGCATAACCACAGCGTTGCTTGGTGGAAGGACCATCGGTTCATTAAGACTAAAAAGAGATAGATGAGCATTGATAGAGAGGCTACATATGAGATACGAATTGATTTTACAAAGGCTCTGTGGAGGGTCAGAGAGCTACACTCACAATATCGTGCCTCTTGCGGCGAGGCTCCAAGGAGGGTTCCGTACAAATCACTAATGGTGTTAACGAGACTCAATCAGATTGAAAATAAAACTAGTACTGAGTTTGAAACGTACTAATGGAGTCACAGACTCACAGCCACCCAACGTACTGCCAACTGATGCGGAAACAATGGTAAGATGTAGGTGAGAGTGCGGTGGTTGAACGAAACTTACAAATAGCCGTCATCCCACCAACGCAATCAGACGAGCAAATTTTCCTTTTTGGTCAGACCGCGTGAAAAATTTGGCCAGCGGCGAGCGCCCAGCGCCCTCACTTAATTACTCCCGCAAACAGCCTCATGCATGCTGCATCTGTGATTAATCATCGAAGGCCATGCATGATTATCTGCGATAGTTGCGTACCACGACCTCTCGCTTCGTGAGCATCGAGTCTTTGCGGATGCCCTCAAGAACAACCTGCTCACCATCAAGACCATCACCAAACAAGGTGCCCTCGCAAATCTTGTGGCCTCCCGCAGCCGTGTCATCATCGAGGAAGCACCTGCACCTCATTCCGACCACACCCATGGGTGGCGCTGGTATGCGAATGGTCGATGTGATCGGCTGGGTCTTCCTCGCCTCAAAGTCAACCACAGCTCTCCTGAGACATCTCCTGGGTCATCCTGAGCCACCTTCTGCACAATGTCCAGCTCCTGGGCCATTGTCTTGTGGACGAAATCCTGCATCATCTCTTGCATGGTGCCGGCCTGCTCGTGGGCCGCTATCTGGTGCACGCTCCTGTAGTGGCTCACGCAATGTCACCGGCAGAAACTCAAGATGTTCGTTGAGGTCCCACTCCCCCCACCCTCCTGGAGGTCGAGTTTCAATCCAGGACGAGACCTGTCACTGGTAGGTAGCGTCCAGGAGCTCATTCCGCAGATAACCTGCATTGGGCAAGGTTCGCAGAGTTCTGATGGGACTGCTCGTGGGGAAGATGAAGCCGAGGCAGAGGTGGATGAGCTTCTGGCGTCCCTTTGAAGTAAAGTGGGGCTGAGAGATGTCACGCTTGGGGTTATGTAGTGCTAGAATCTTCTTTTTGCCATTGCTCACTTGTTTGGATTTTGATACGTACATTGTGAGCGGTGTCGTTTAAGACATGGAGGTATAAAAGAAGATTGAACGTTTGAACCGTGCTAAGATCCTTCATAAACATGAGGCAATTGTGAGCCAATGAGATTGAAGATACCAATAGTGCTGAACTTGAAAGACATATGTAGAGGCATTGACCACTTATCACGCTGTCTGGACTAGCCTCGTCGACGCTAGCAACACGCCCCATCATGCTCATACAAAGATTTTGACAAGAACTTCATTGTGGATGGCCATATCACATTTCAACAGGTAACTAGGTGGTACAGCAGCGAGATGTTCATATCAACTTTGGTTGACTTTGACTATTTGTCCAATCACTAACCTCACCATGGGCCGCCGAGCTAAGTACCTCACATCGGAAGAAAAACTAGCAGCTGCTCGTCAACATACGGAATCATATTTACAGTCAAAACGGTAGGTATCATTCAGTGACTTGTTATTGCAACGTTGTTGATATGTTTGGCAGAGGCAAGATCATTCGACAGGCTCAGAATGCTCGTGCCTACGCCAAACGTCATGGTCGACGCGGACCTCATACAACTCCTAGGGCCCTGCACAACCCTCTACCGTCTTCAATCTCACAGTTTGCCAATCCTCCTCTTCCCAAATCATTCTCTTTCACCAATCGCTCCATGGTTCTGACTTGATCGATGTTTCGGATCTCTCCCAGTGGGATAAAGCCCCGCCTTACAATTCTCTGCCTCCACCCGACTCACCCGAAGAACAGCGTTTTACAGAATCTCTTTGACGTGATGCACGGACATAATTTGCGTGTGGATAGGGAATCTCGCGCTCATCGTCAAGCTGTGTATGATGCAGGAGGGGTCTGAAGTTTTGGAGGAGCTTCGAGACGCACAGAAGAGGTTGCTTGCAGGCTGGGATGACCTGAATGCTCGTATCGCTAACAACCTACAGGTATGTGGAAGACACAAGCTTATGGCTGAGTGCTACCGCCATGGGTCGCGCGGAGGATCTTAACTTACCAGAGGGAGGTTGATTTGCTAGTTACTGGGCAGAATCCATATTGTCTTAGTCCATAATACCTGTTATTGTACTACTCTACTTCGAATCATGCCTGTAAACTGGTAATGCAAGAACCATAGTCCGCAGATAGTATCGTAGATCGTCCATGTCCTGCTCTCGTACTCCTGTAATATGTTTGCCGCGTACAATAGCAAAAATTGTCGCCAAAACCCATACACCACAGTCGAAATCATTGTTCTGAAGACGTTGGACCTAAAACAACACGAAGTGGTCGGCAAAGTTGTGAAAAATGGAGGATGAAACTCACGTTCAAAGGTCGAGCAACCCAGCCTTCAAGGTCAATATTAACACGATATTCGTGTTGGCGCGCAATAGCAAGGAACCGAACAATTAATCTCATTATATCCTTTCATTAAGATCCGATCAGTCAAACGCAAACGCATGATTTAAATTGAACCCACTTCGACGTCCTTTTGCCAAGGCTGCCTGTCACCTAGGCTATCAAAAAGATGAAGTTCTTTTGTGGACAGCCGGATGACACATAGCACCCAGTGCCCAATGCCCGACGGACGATGAATAGGAAGTACCCATATATCCTTTTCCCAATAACGAACCCATGATGTATTGCGCCAAATGACATTGTCTGGCGCATTGTAACGAATACGGGGAAGATCGTGGGTTGAGAGGATGGCGCATTGTGCACCCGATGTCCTGAGTTGAGAGTGCCAGAGAAGTATGGCACAACTGTTGATGCATACATCATTCAGGCGTGCTGTAGGAGAACTAAGGAAACCGATGTCCCTAGGGTCAAATATCTGATACGGGATTCCATCCGAGCTAGGTTGTACTCGGGAGACAATTTTGCCTGATATGAGAATGCCGCGCTCACGCAATGGAACATTAAAATCATCCGCAAGAAGATTCTAGTATGATACATCAGTGCCGTATTCCTGACAGTAAATGTCAACCCACCTCAGGAAGTTCCCAATGAATGACGGCAGTAGCTTCGCGCACATGATCAGTTGAGTCATCATCATCATCATCATCCCACTCTACCGTGCCTATCTGACCCTCCAGAACGTCAGCAAGCGCTGTTTGTTCAGAATCAATGGGAGGAGGATGGTCAGGATCAGCAATGGAAAATTCATCCCCACCCTCGAGATCTGGCTGCAGGTATGCCAGCATTGATGGCAAGAAGTGTCGTGCTGCGCGAGGTTCCCGAGAGGGTGGTAGCTACCTCCAGTGCATTGTTGACTAGGCTAGCGAAGCATGCCGGAGAAGCTAAGGAATTGGACCATCGAGATTGAAGTCGGACAAAATTAGCATGCCGTTGCTGTAATGGGACAGCAAACGGTTCATCTAAGTTAGATTACACATCAGCAAAAAGTTGCTAGAAGAATAGAATCCACTCCCTTTCTGGCAACCGAAGAGCGAGTTCGAGCGCTGCCAGCTCATCACCAAAGAAACGACAAAGATTATCAGCCTCAATGCTGAGGCGGATATGTTCTTCTTCACATCGATCCCGTTTGAGGAGTGCACGTATACCGTCCCTGATGCGTGAGTCCTCCAACCATCGGGGAACTTCTCCTACCGATGGTGTAATCCATACATCTTCCATTAATTTAGGGTCGTTGCGTAGTTCCGTAAGTTTCGTTGGAAGAGGGGAAGGCAGGGGAATCCCCCAACTCGGTTCGTAAAGGGAAGCTAACCGTTCACAGTAGGAGTTGAATTTTCGAATAGCGGTCATGAGGGCAGGTTGGCGCTTTGCTATAGCTTTGCGCGTATGCTGATGGAGCTTAGTGCCTGTAGGTAATTAACAAAGTATACCACTGTAATTAACAATGGGGTTCGAACTCACCTAGAGCTTGTTGGGCGCCTCCAACGCGCGGTCAAGTTTGTCCCACTCGAAGAAGCTTGCAACGGCACGTTTGCGAACATTAATTTTGAGGTCCCGCGCCATTAAAAGGGTACGAACAAAATCAAGATTGACCCCTTGAAGTTCAGGGAACCGATCATGAACGTTTAGAGATGAGTAAAGAGCCTCAACTTTGTCCATTAGCCGACTATGTCCCCTCTCCAGGCTCAGCAGAGCTTCGAATGTATCGTCAGAGGCCGATTCTTTTTCTAGCATTACTCTGGTAGTCTGTAGTGCTCTGTCCGATGCATCGAGATCTGCCTGGAGGGCCAACACGGTGTCCAGCTCTTTCTTGAGGCGAGATGGAGCGTCTTGGAGGACCGTTTATCAATACTAATGCACTATAATAAAATGAACTCACGAGCACGTATGGATAACTGTGAATGCCGTTGGTGGGACCACTGAGACCGTAACTCGTCGATAGGGATTTCGCATCGGTCTAGTACATCTTGTGCTGCAGACCCTTGTTCTTTGATGCCACGTCTAAGGCGACGTTTGATCCAATCACCGAGATCAGCGCGCATTTCGGACCCTATGGCTGCGGCTTGCCGATCAATCAGCCAGAGGCGACGTTGACGCTAAAGAAGGTTTCGCGTGAATAGGGTTATAATGAAATTGAGGCGGGACGCACGGAAGAGGTCCTCTCAATACCAATCAGGCGAACAAAGCGCGACCAAAGACGCTCGGTCCCTTCCCCGTCGGACAGGCCAAGCCCAACGCACATTCGTGGGTTATAAATGAGCTGACATGCCCACTCATGGCCGTAGGCATGCATTGCAGTCGTCGCAAAACGAAGTCGTGTGGTGATACTTTCAGGAAGGATATCATACTGGAGAGGTGTGAGCGAGCAATCTAAACGTTAGTGATAGCATACTTTTGCGAGGGATCGCGCCAGAACACATCCAACGTCATATAAAGCAACAACTGTTGCCTGGTGCGGGAGTAATGAAAACAAGTGTTGGAGGAGGGCTACAGAGTATTTCTGTTGTTCTCCAGGAGAATCGATGTTAGCGAAAAACAACGGGATATCATGGCGACAAATTAATGCCATAATACCTGTGTCATCGAAGTTATCCATCGCGGTCTTCTGCTTCTTGCCGTCAGCAGCCTCATAAGAAGTTTCACATTGGTCCACAGCCTCGTCAGGGATGAGGGAAGCATAAGTTCTTGGAGGATGCTTATGTAGGGCGTCTATCCGGCGGCCGATACCATCAACGAAGGTTTTTGGGATAAAGTATGTAGGGTCATAGAAGGGTGGACAATCGCCAGCTGCGCGTCGGTGGCGGTGATGGAAATTCCCATCCGTTGCAACATGAATATCGCCTCCATCGTCTGGGGATCTACCATAAAGTATGCCCCCGAAACAAGCAGGGCATCTTTGAACCAGAAGGGGCGCGCATCGACCTGGATGTAGGGTAGGAGAATGAATTTCAGGGACGTCAGATGTTGCTTGCAAGGTCATGATGCGGTCCCGGCTTTGTTGGAGAAGGGTCTCGAGTTGTTGTTCGACTTGGACTTGCAGTATGTCAAACCACTGGACAGCATAGCCGAGACCTCTGCGAAACGGGTCCTGGATAAGTCCGCCCTTCCAAAGCATGTTAGTAGTAATTTAAATACACAATTGAAACTTACTTGTGCGTCTGTCATCTGAAATCCCCGTCGAGAATAATGAGTCTTTAATGCTGATGCGAGAGCATTAATTGCATCACATGAACGCTCAAACAATGTGCGATAGAATGAAAGTAGATCCACAGACACAGCCATCCGAGGCTGTGATGGAGCGGTTGGGAATAGACCATGGTGGACCAGAACCTGCGGGAGACTGGAGCACGCGCAACTTAGTACATCTATAGATTCAAATCCTACACAAATGTCAACGCACACCTCCGAGTCTTTGTTGCATAATGATAGGCTTACGATCGAAGAATAAACAAACCAATGTGGTCTGTTTGGGTGAGCACGATGTTGTCTCACATGCAGATATGACTGGGCGGATGATCTCTAGAGTTTTGCCCTGGGTTCGTCCGAAATAGCGAAGTAAATGGTTGACGAGGGTTGGCACAAGTGCCGTCCAGGAATAATACAGTGAGTTGGTTGATTTATCTGGCAAAATCCGTCGTTTGACTGGCGTGTCAATTGCCGGGGTGTCAGACTTGGAGGTTCTAACATTCCGACGTCCTCGGAGTGAAGTGGGTGGGCATCATCAACGTTTATGTGTTGGGCGGTATCATTGCAGTCCCCAGCGTGAGCAAGGTCAGCAGAAAGTACTTGTGGGTCTGATTTTTCACCTCGCGGCTTCATAAGTTGCTGCATTTCAGCTAGAAGTCGGCGACGCTTCGCCTCCGCACCCGGTATCTTGATCAATGTTTGTGTTTTCCGTTTGTCTCGAGCTTTCCTCGGGCTCACAAAGTGGTGGCCTAGCCCTGAAGATGTGAGCTGAGATTTGCGAGTGGGATGAGGTGTGGAGGACGACATTGTGGAGATAAGAGAAGGACATACCAGTATGAAGAAGTATCAACAAGGCTCCAACGCTAAGTTTGTGGAAAGCACGTGAGGGATGCGCTGGAGGTATGGGACATATTTCTAGAGGTCTGCGAGAGGTGTCGTGAGAGGGTTTTTAGGTATTTTAGAGGCGCGAAGGGGTTCTGGGAGGGTGGAGCTAGAGGGACGCGAGGGAAGCGAGGTGGGCTAGGAGTAAGTGTTATTAATAGATGGGGGGAGGGTGGGTCTCAGAGACCACTTTCCCATAACATAGAAACCGGGTCTCTTGGACCCTTTATAGGCACCGAGAACTGATGCCTGAGGTGTGCCGTCCAGGCATATGAAGCACCTATGACAACTGCCACCCACGCATATGAAGATGGTATGACTACTGCTTCCCGCGCATATGAAGACACTATGACTACTGCTGCCCACGCATATAAAGAATGTGAGGACCTTGCCTGCTTGGAGGGCGAAGTTACTGTTTCAATGCTTCAAGAAGAAGGCAAAGAACTTCTGAACGCTCTACATCAGGAAAAGCCTCCTGGGCAAAAATTGTAATAATTTGCGCTAAACGATGTTATTCTGATAATTCTATCTAATTTCAAGTTTTAGGAATAAAACGGCTAAAAGACGATAATGTACAATGGAATTATCGAGACTTATTTGAAAAATACAGTAAGTGTATCTATCTAGATACGAGTTCAACCAAAAGTGTTACAGTCATCTAGAACTGTATCACTCGACCACTCTCGCAGGACGACGGCACCGAAATTCGGTAGAAGATGGGCACTCCGCACGATCTTCGACAATGGCACAATGCTTGCCACTTTTGCGCCACCAAGCAAGGAATGCGAGACCTTGTAAAGGCCGTGGTGTCGATCGGGAGCCAACAGAAACGACGAGAACCATTCGATATAGGTACAATGTATGTCAGTAATAGCAACACAATAATGAGATCACAGCTCACAAACAGCTGGCAGGCAACGACTTCGATCGGCATGGCTCTTGCTCGAAGTGGGATCACACACTCACTTCCTGTAAATGGCGGGCAACGACTTGGATCAACATGGCCCGAGCTCGAACGAGGATTGACACACTCACAAGCTGCGAATGGCGGGCAACGGCGAGCATGCACGTTTGAACAGTGGCAAACGACTTTGCTTGAACAACAATTGACCACGTCATTTTTCACACGGTCTCACGTGTCACGTTTAAACATCAATTTTTCTTACAAGTTCAACGACTTCGTTCTCAACCTTCCACCATCATGATGCCACACATCATCTCGCATGCCTCCAGGTGTGTCCTTTATTTTGTTCATTGTATTGTACTAATGTGTTTGCCCTGGTGCAGCCTACCCTCACAGTTAACCTTATAGCCTTGCCCCAAAATTATCCTCAGTAAGTCTTCTATTTATTTTTTTCTCGTCTTTCATTCTCTCGCTCACTGCTCTCAGTGTCTCGTCCTCCTTTCGGCGTCTAGTCAGTGTCTCGTCCCCTCTCTGCGTCTTCTCCCCTTTCGGCATCTTGTCCTCCTCTCCGCATCTCTCCACCCTGGGCATTGTGCCTTCACCACGCGCCTCCTCGTTTCTGTCGAGCCGCTTTGTCATGCTCATTCATGTAGTACGTGAACGCATCGACGAGCGCATTTAATTCATCATAGTTGTCGAGGATACCAGTGGAATCTGGTGTGGGAATGGCAGTAAGTTTTGCCGGTGTGGATGGTGCCGTTTGACATGCCGGATACTGACGCTACTCGAAGGGCTTTGAAACTGAAGGGCAATGATCATCTCGCCAGTGAGCATCGAAATGCTCTGTCGCTACTCGACCTGGATGGCATGGCCGACGATTAGGTTCTGATCCATTACTGTATTTCCGCATTCATTAGTGATTGTACCTAAATTCCTCGTACCCTCGTCATCAGCTGTTTCGCGATTACTTAAACACATCTTTTAATCCAATATTAGTCTTTTGTTCTTGTAACATTGCCTGGGACGCGTGATCTGTGAACCAACATTTGTAATAACGGCTTCTGCAATTCACCACAATTATGTCTAGTCAGCTAAATCTTGATAATTATCCAACACTGAGGAGGGGGTAAAAAAGTCCTTCTAAACTATATAATCTTCCTAATTCCCTAAGGCTGCTAATTAGAGCTAATTCTTGGATTTATCAAAGATTATCAAAATTTTGGCCGGGAGGTTTTTCCTGATGTAAGGAGAAGGCAAAAGAAGCTTTCGAACATTCTAAGGAGAAGGAGAAAGAAGCTTTTGAACGCACTAAGAAGAAGCAAAACTTTTGAACGCTCTCAGGGGAAGGAGAAAAAGCTTTGTGCTCACAGGCGAAGGCGGAGTTAATCAAGACTATTCTTGAAATCACCTTAAATCATCGCCTGGGTATATTTCACTGCCATGTTGTGACAGCAATCCCACTGACCCGCTTGCCTTCAGGGAGACCTTAATGTTGGGCAATGCAACCCAACATCAATGATGTTCTGGTCCGGAGGGAAGCTGAGGTGTCTCGGCTGCGAATGCAAGTTGCTTGAAACGTCTGTCGTGATAGATTCAGGTTGTGGAACTGTACGAAATGGTTGTATGATCGTGCAATATGGTGCTTAGTCTGGTATGGCGTATACATATTTGGAGAATGTCGGTCACCCTAGTGGCGAGAGTTACGGCGCTTGATGTACCTCTCAAGTATCCGTGATCCTATTTCAAGCGCATCAAGGCTGGGTATGTTCTGCTCCATAGCTTGTCTCAACTTGCATAACTTTTTCTAAACCGAAATCCGAACGTTTAT